ATATTAATTAATATTAAGTAATTTATTTATAAAGTAAAGTATTTATTTATTAATATACTTAAAGAGTATTTTTCTATTAAGTTAAGGAAAAGTATTATTCTTTATTTTCTATTATTAATAAATTATATAGAAGATATTATAATATATTATCTATAATTCTATATAGTAATTAATTTTAAGGATACTCTTTTAATAGCTTAATAACTTAAAGGAGCTATTTAAATATTAAATAATATTTATTATCTTTTATCTATAGATTATAAATACTATTATAGTAAATAGGTTTTATTATTTAATTTTTAGCTTATAATATATATAAACTTCCTTATATTCTACTTATATTATATTTCTTACTTATAAATAGTATTTCTTCTCTTTTAATATATATTTAATAAACTTATTATAATATTAAAATACTAATTTATATTTAGTTAAAGAGCTATACTTTAAGTTAATATTACCTTTTTTATATTTCTTTTTTATATTTTAAAAGGCTTCTTTAATTTATTATTAATTTTCTTTAATTATACTATCTTCTTATTATTTTTATTCTTTTAATATTTTAATAAAGATAAATATAAGTATTATAGAAAATTTAGGAATTATAATATTTATAAATATTCCTTCTTAAGTTATTTATTAAATTATTCTTAAGATCTAATTCTTAGTTTTTTTAATTATTCTTAATTATCTCTTATCTTTTTTAATAAGCTTTTAATTATATTACTTCTTAAGTTTTAAGTATTAAGGGGATATATACTTTATTTCTCTATAATTATAGTATTTCCTTTTTTTTATAATTCTTAACTTTATAAAGCCTATATATACCTTAGACTTAGTAAATAATAAAGGGATTTATTATATTCCCTAATTAAGTTTATTTATAAACTTAATATAGTTTTAATTATTATATTTATTTCCTTTTTATTATTTTTATTTATATAAATAATTATTAATCCTTATTATATTTACTATATACTTAAATAAATTATTTAATTCTTTAAGTTTATAAAGTTAATCTTTTACTTTTTCTTTTAAGCTATTATAAAATACTACCTTAAAGGGCTTATTATTTTAATTTAATTAAGTTATAATTTCTTTAAACTTAATAATATATTTTAATATAAATTTTATTTACTTAAAATCCTTAAAATCTTTAATAACTTATTATTCCTTATTTACTATATTAAATATAAGAGTAATTACTATAATAAAGTTATTATAATTAATAAAAATATTAATAATTTCCTAATCTTTATTTCTTAGCTTAACTTTATTATTATATTAATCCTTTAAGTAAACTTAAAACTATTATCCTATAGTATTAATAAAGTATATTCCTATATACTTAACTTATTCTTCTTTACTTTTAAGTCTTATTAAAAAGAACTTAAAATAAGCTTAAAGCTAGAGTTTAAACCCTTTTAGCTTCTTAATATCCTTAAAGAAAGGTCTTAAAGGAATTAATTAAATAACTTCTCCTTAATCTCTCTTCTTTCCCTTTTTAAGTTAATTAATTTAAAGTATAAGATTTTATATTATTTCTTAAGTAGTAAGTTCTATTAAAGTATTATTAATAAATATAATAAAAGTTATAATATCTTTTTTATTATTATATAATAATTAAAATAAAGTAATTAATTAAATAAGAGTTATTAATATATAATAATTAATTAACTTATACTAAATAAGGTTTAAGATAAATTAAGGTTAAATTAATTAAAGTATTATTTTAAGTAGTATAATTAAGTTATTTAGGTATTATATAAGTTATTATTAATATATAAGTACTAAGGAGTTAGTTTTAATAAAAGTAATAGTAATTATATTAATAATTATTTAAGAAAGTATTTCTATTTAAGAAGTAAATATATATATATAATATTTATAAAGTATTAGAAATATATTACTCCTAATTAACTTATTAAATCTATAATAAGAGTATAATACTCTTATTACTTTAATCTTAAGGTAGGTCTATATATAACTATATAACTTATTTAAGAGGCCTTTATTTATAATAAGGGATTATACTCCTATATTACTAGGAAGGATTATATAGTCTTTAGGGGTATGGAGTTTTTATAAGAGATATATTAAACATAAAGAGAGAAGAATAATAAGTCTTTTCCCTATTTATAGTAAATAATAATAAATACTTAATATAAAAAACCTTAAAAGTAATACTTAAGGAAATAGTATATATTAAAGTCTAAATAGAGATTATTTCTAATTTAAAGAAGTTATAATAAAAAGCTAAAATAGTACTTATTAAAGAAATCTATAAGTACTTACTCTTAAAATATTAAGAAGTTAAGAAAATATTTAATAAAATTAAATAATATTATAATTATTTAGATTTATAAAGAGAAATATAAATTATAGTTTTAAAATATAATACTTATATATAAATTAAGTTTATAAAATATAAACTTTATAAAGAATTTAAACTAGTCTTAATATTAAAATAACTATAGTAATTAATATTTTTTAATTATATTATTAAATTATTATTATTTTAAGAATTAATAACTAAAGTAATATATAATAATATCTTAATAGTTATTAATAAACTTATAAAATATAAATATTTTATTTTATATAAAAAAATAAGCTTTATAGAAAACCTTATATATTAATTCTTATAATATATAATTAATTACTATAGATTACTTAATAAATTAATATTAAATAAAGAAATAATATTTACTTTTAAGTTTTAGTAATTATTTATAATATAAATAGATATTAAGTATAAGCTCTTAATAGCTTATTATTTATAAAGTAATAGCTAAATAGAATAATTAAATTAAACTCTAAAATAATATCTATAAGTATATATTAATTATAAATAAAATAATTAAATATAATTATTACTAATAATATAAATTATTTATAATAGCTTAATATAGGAATTTATTTAAGTTATATCTATAGTTTAGTACTATTTGAAGTTATTAGTATTGCATGCTCGTAATCTCGTCCTTGATTTAAACGTGGTTGACCTAATATTAATACGTAGAATATAGTAGTATTCTAGAATAAAAAAATAAGGGCGACTATATATAGGTCTAAGCTGGTCAGCAGTTAAACTATATCTTTCAGATAATTAGGCATTATCGTTACTGTTAAGTGCCTACTGGTAAGTATATATAATCATCCATCTGAATCTTAATATACTTGAAGTTAGACTAGAGCCGGATGGTAATAAATACTGCTGTAGCGATAAAGAGCGTGATAGCCGCGGCCAAGAAAGCCTGTAGTATTAATTTACTGGGTTGGATAACCTGGGAGATAGCAAAGAGCATTATCTCCTTAGGGGTCATATCTTAGGGATTCGGGGAGGATATCTCACTTGTCTTAGTAGGGTATTAAAGCTGTTCGTGAGCCTGCAGGGTATATAGCTAATATATAGACGAGGCTGGTGAGCGATGCTTTATCGCGAGGAAAGGGGTTGGGGGCAACGGAACAGGGGCAATTATAGGCTTGATAACTTACAGCGACGCCTGAGCCTTGCCCTGCCTACCGGGTTTCCTTTTCGGATAGCAAGGCGCCTTTAAAGAAGCCTGATAGCCTGTGTTACTCCTAAATGCATGATACTCTAGCACTACCTTAGTCCGAGCACTCCTGACACGATCATAATAGACTGGGGTCCTGACGCCCTATATCCTAGCCTTATTAGGATAGATATAGCACTGATATGGCCTAAATTAGCTATATGACACGATATCTATATTAGATATGCTCCTAGAAGTTGGTTAAATAGTAGTATAGGAGTTAGACCGCTGCTGTATAAGGAGGCACTTATGATGTGTTAGGCCCTATCTAGGGATGGCGATGTCACTAAATACTATAATAGGAACTATTCGGAACTAATACCCTGGAGTAATATAGGAAGGGTAGGCAGAATAATAATATATCTGCTTCTAGACTTGCTAGAGCAAACTGTGATAATAGCAATGATAGAAGAAAGTTTAAGTAATTATGATGTAGTGTCTTATCGACTATCCTTGCGAGTGCCTCGGCTATATCGTAATCGGCTCTAGCCTAGTCCCTCTGAGATCATTTCGCTCTCAAAGTATTGCCGTGTATAATATTCCTTGGCGTAGTATATCGACTTCCGTAGACCCTCTAAACGTAAAGTGAGCAACTTGTATGTAGTAATAATATAAATGGAGTTATAAGATGTTGGACATGCTAAGTCTACGTATATAAAGTGCCTCTAGAGCCGTGTAGAACTAGAGGCTGTGGTAAATAGATATAAAGCAGGGTATAAGAAAAGACAATTTCTATTTAAACCCGACTGCTACAAACTCCAAAATGGCTTCCGCATCCCCTCGTACTCCTTATCACCAGAACGTGATTGTCCGCTCTCTCCCCAATATTACTCCGGAAGAGCGTGAAGCTATCTTTAGAGATGTCGAGTATAATATCTTCAACCTTCCCACTGCACTGCTTTCTACGAATGGTTGCTATTTAAAGAAAACGCTGAATTCGAACGAATTAGCCCTGTTTGGGCTGTTGCGATAGCTTCAAACTACACGACTTAGTTGTGCCCTCGTGAGTGCTTCTTATATACTGCTAGGCATATCACATATTAATAGAAAATGCGATATCGGCCACAGTTAACTCTAGTAATACTATCAAGCCATACTACGGGTGGAGATAGGTAGCTAATCCGAAGGGGGAGGGTGGCCACGCAACTGCACCCAGACGAGACGAGGAATTAATATATAGCCAGCCTAGCTGTCAGCAGCTGCGACAGTCAATTCGTACTGGCTTGACCTGCCTGTCAGCTGTTGAGTGATATATATATAATTGCTACAGTGTTAAAATTAGGAGGGGTAGTCTATCCAGGGGTATCTATATAACCTTATTTTGGGTTTAGAGACATTGGCGCCTACAACAACTAATCCCTGATTTCGCACTTGTGAGACCTATATATGTATTTCCACGAAGAACCTCCAGCTTCCGTTGACCGATATCTGATTAGCCTATAGCTAAATTCGGTTTCTGAGCTGGTGCTTCCTCTCGCGGCCAATATTGCGCTTCTTCTTGCCTCCAGCATTACGCTTGTTCTTGCCTCCAACATTACGCTTGTTCTTGCCGGCGACGTTGCAGCTCACCTCATGTGCCTTCGTTGCCAGACAATCAATACTTTTGCACTGCAGCCCATTTCGTCAGAACATCTTAAACGACTTCATTACATTCAAAAAGCCACTTACCTTTGTATCACCTGGACACTTCTTGGTGTTAGTCACCGACCGCCACAGAGGCATATCATCCTTTTTTTTATTATGCCGAGTGCCAGCACTGGTCCAGTAATCATAGGTGCACATGTCATTACTGCAGCTCTAATATGATATATGTATTAATACGTCTTCCTAAGCTCATCAATTTTAATATCAAGGGGATAGCTGTAGGCCTGTATAACTTACACCCCAAATAACCTTAGGCGTTGGATCAGTCTTGGATGACATGGTATTGCCAGTCCTCTTGACAGCGACAGCGGCGAATCCTTGAGCCAAAAGAAGGAGAAGAGGATTGGACTTCATTGTGATAGGCTGAGGATATATTTTTAAAGACGTTGTATTGTATTATTCTGGTTCGGTAAAGAAGAAGAAGAAAGAGAAAATTCTATAATCGAGCAGAAGTCAGGTTATATACCTATGGCTGTTCCCTTGACCCGCGACCTGAAATAACATGAGTATTAGCCCTTGTATGAAATCAAGGGATTGGGATCCAGCTTGCATTGTTGGTCAGCTTGCATTGTTGGCTGGTCCTTATGCCCCCCTAGTAGCACTTCGAGGACTTCCTAGGGACTTCCCAGGGTTTGATAAATACTTGATAAAACCTACGAAGTTACCGACAAAAAAAGCCAGCAATATGGCACCATGTCACTTACATACTCTCCGTGAAAATTCAGACTATGACCGCTCCCGTTCTCTTGAATGCGCTGTGTAGCAAGATCATGATCTTCCATCAACGGCCAAGGTTAGTTGGGGGAGGGCCGAACGTATCATGGCGTGGATATGGCACTACCGGACGATGAAACTCTGGTATGCCGTTGGTAAGACTCACTAACCCGGCTCAACTTCCAGACCTACATGCGCGCACATGATATGAGGACAAGATTAACTGGAGCAGGGCCGATCGTACTTTGGTATGAATGGCACTACCCGATGAAACCCTGATATGCTGTTGGTAAGACTCACTCACCCGGCCTACATACGCGCATATGATACGAGGGCAAGATCAAGTGGAGCAGGGCCGATCATGCCATGGCATGGATATGGCACTGCCCAATGAAACCTTGATATGCTGTTGGTAAGACTCGCTAAACCGGCTCATTTTCCAGACCTAAACATACACACATGATACAGGGCAAGGTCAAGTGGAGCAGGGCCGATCATACCATGGCATGGATGCGGCACTGCCCGACGAAGAAGCCCTGATATGCCGTTGGTAAGACGCGCCAACCCGTGACTTAAGTTCCAGACCCACACACACGCACGGTACTTGTTGGCTTGGACTACTTGTGTAGGTGGTGTCCTGTGGCCGCTTACCTATGTCGAAACCCTACTCTGTGACGTTTATTCGACATGTACCCGTACCTACCTTAGCTGATCATAACCTGAATACAGCGTGAAGACTTAATGGATGTCTCAAAAAGCCCTACCAATTAGAAGTATTTCAGGTTTGTGGTGCCACACCCACAAACCCTGTAGCGGGAGATCCACTCCCTCAACGGGCTGAGGCTAACGCTTCATGTGAATAACACAGAGACCCATACTGGCAGAAACCAACCAACATGAGGAGATATTATGAGAAACGAATACGGCATGAATCCCCCCATTATTATTTATAGGTATTCATGCAGCTGTGGAGCAAGAAGGTAACATTGGCTCCTGGCGCGTAGAAGACTTGAGTGCGACGCCCAACTGCTTTCCGTTAAGCCGGGCGATGCCTGGGATGTTAATAAACATGCCGCTTCTGCCTGAATACCCAGCGTTTTCACTCCTCCTCGTTCAACAGCTTCCTGCTTCATTATCACATCTCTATATACAATATTCACCATGTCAGATCTCCCTGCTGATGAAAAGCCTGGCTGGGCTGAGTGGTCCAAGATCTTTAGGGATAGTATTGATGAGGAAGTTGAGTTCACTGATAATAATGAAGCCAACTTCTGCCGCCTTGGACCAATCATCTCTCATCATCTCCATTTTGCCACCAGGGACTATGCTACCAGTCAATGTTCCTTGACAAATATCGAGCTCCGCCTATCCGATGTATGGTATGCATGCATTATGGCAGGCAAGCACATTTGGGGTCGCACTTCAGAACCAAATACTGTTGTTGTTGCTCTTGCAGCCCTCAAAGCATCTGGACCACTTCAACGCCCCTCGCAAAGAGATGGCCCTTCGCAGACACTCAGTACCCATGACGCAGATCAACCAATCACCTTCTCAGATGGTCGCACATTCTGGCCCGAGCTGCCCCTGTTTGCTGTTACTCTTATCGATGAGTTTGTGCAACGCTTGCATCAACCCAACTATGGCGCCGAGTTCTCCTTCAACTTGGCTACCTTCGTCGGGAGATTAGTCTCTGTTGGAATCTTCGATGGACCTGCTATCTGCATACTGTCACTGTTTCGAGAGGCTCTGGAGACCCCTCAGCCACTTACAACAACGGTTAATAGCGACGATGTCACAAGGATGCAGTCATTTGAGGACCGCTTGCAGACATTGGCGCAAACGATTGAGTGTGCTAATATCGGCCTTGCTCTCCTTGCTAGCAATGGATCGACTACTGACAAAGTTGACTATGCCAGCTTCCCCCAGCTATCTAGTCTAGGGGAGCTAGCTAGTAAAGCTAGCCTTGATGGCTCTATCCCACTGGGGTATAGTCCTGCGCGCTGGAGATTCTGGGTTCAGCGACTTGAAGAGCTGAAGCAATGTGGAATAGAAAACATTGAGATACATGCTAAGCAATGTCTGAGGAAAATGAGCGAGGTAGCTGAGGACACTGGCTTATTATTGGAATAGTGAATTTGAAGAAGGAACCCCTGATCGAGAGAGTAGTTATCCTAGATTGGGCGGATCGGATAGGAAAGGATAAGCTATGCATTTCTCGCGATTTTAGCAGGCCCAGCGACTGCCCGATTGGCCCAAGACGCGGCCTCCGTTGCTCCAGTGACCTCCCATTAGCCAAGGCTAAGCAACCAACTTGTAGACGCTAATACATACTGTACCCTTGATCATCACCGCTCAATCCACGTACTAGTATCATCATCACATACGCGCGCGCTTCCTGCTGCACCTTCCTAGGCCTTTCATCAAGTATCAATAGTCAAGAGACAAGGAAGTAACACACCATAACAAAACACCCAGCGCACGCGCTCATTTCACAATGCAGCTCGTACCAGACTCTCTGCCTCTCTCCTCACAACCAGACTCTCAACCACCCACCAGTTCTACCATGGACCGCCGCCACTACCTTGGTCGTCACGGACATCGCGCTGAACCCTCCCCAAGGGCTCAAGCCCGTCATGATCGTGCGGCCATGCCTTCAGTTCTTGCCACCTTCAAGATAAATTATCTCGGCCCCGCCTACAACCTGCCCCAACCTTACCTTGACAAAGAGACGCTGCAAACATTTGGGATCACCATCGCGGGCCTGAGCCTAACCTCCGGCAAAGTTACCGATGGAAGAGCCGCTGTGCTTGAGCCCATTCCTCACGAACAAATGGAGAAGTGGATCACCCAGACGGGCACCAAGACTGTGGACAGTGATCTAGCCAACTTTGTCCACAATCCTGACTTTCGCCTCAACCACAATCACAAAGAGGCAGATTGTCTTTTCCATACTCTTCAATTCTATCTTAGTGATAACCTCTTGGGGATGTTACATCCCAATATTTTGGATCATTTCACCCGCTGGGAAATGTTCCCGTACGTAACCTTCTCCTTCAGCCTCCTTACCATAACAATAGGTCACCTGCTAAAAGCACACATTTATAGGAACAGGAATACCTTTCTTCAGGGCGTTGAGCACAGTGACTGGTATGTGCATGGAGTCATCCTGAGATATTGCAAGGAGAAGGAACCTCCTGCTCTCGACCCTCGTTTCCCACACAACGCATCATTTGTTTCGGATCGGAATCCGCTTAAAGATGGCATCTTATCAAAGAGTGAGCTTGTCGCAATCCTGGGTTTGGCATTCGTCTTTGCCAATGGCGCCCTCGAAAGGGACGACTTACCCTTCATCATTCCAGTACGCTCTATTGTACCCTCCTTTACATCCATGCATGAGCAACCACTAATCGAGCTCTTCCGTTAGGTCACAATAGTTTCGGCATCTTGGAGGAGTTGCCGTGTAGTGCAAGGGGTAGTTGACTTAACTGTCAAACCAAAGCCTTCAATTGACATTCGAATGTCTCGCATTGTCGATTTCGAAAAGGGTGTCAAAACAGCGGATGCCTGGCCCGATTTGGTCAAGTTGTTGTCTATTATTGTTGCTAAGCCAATCCCTGTTTCTTGAGATCAGATGTTTTTTTTTATTTTTATTATTGCTTATAATATCTCGCTGGCTTGAATTACATAAGGTCTTTAATAGTACATGAGACCAAGAAAGGAGTCAGAATGAAAGGTATATATTTGGAGAGCGACTACAGCATCAGCGCCAACGTCTAGGCGCATCCTCTTAGTCAACAGGGTGGGCTTGGCGAGACTGCCACCGGTTGCTCGGCGGGAAGTGAATCTTGAAAAGGACAAACGTGCTCATTTCATTTCATCTCACGGGATATCCGCCTAGACATATTGTAAGCTCCATGTGTGCGTTGAGCTATGATCAAATAGCAAGCAAAATGAAGGATGCATTCAGTGGCAAAAGTTTCAGGCGGGAATAATATCGAAGGTATGACAATTTCTGCACGCAAGCAATTCAAATACACGCTTCCCAATTGATACCATTGAGAAGTCGGACACTGGGGACGGAAGCTGTTGGATGTCGCTCTGCGCAACTCAATGTCTACATTTTCATGATGCTATGCTCATATTACTTTTTCCCACTCACTGATGAGATTGAATGAAGAGTGGGTGAGCTACATTCAAAGTGGGGGTTGAGTGAGCCTGGGAGGTTGTGGAGGAGCTGGTCCGGAGTCGGAAAATCGTTGATGCGCATCAGTAAAAATTTCAACTTATCGCTTATCAGAATACATACACACTATTCTGGGCTCTTTTTTCCGCTTCAACCAGATCACCAGGGACAGAGCCCAAACGACAAGATGCCTCAGAATGAGTACATGGAAAGATGGCGCCGCCTCCACGGTCGAAGGTAAGTCACCGACCCTGCGATTTCGTTTGGACGTGCAGGACTAACGCATTGGAACAGGCTCGACCAGGAGGAGCGAGTACGCAAGCGCCAGGCTCGCCAGGGCCACAAGGAATCCAAAGATGCACAGAATCTGCGAGGTCTCGCGGCCAAGTTGAGACAGGAGAAGCGACGAGTCGAGAAGATCCAGATGAAGAAGAAGATCAAGGCTTTCGAGGAGCGCGACATCAAGCTGCAGGGAGAATCCGAGGCGCCCAAGGATGCAGTTCCGGCCTACCTGCTCGACCGTGACGGCAATGCTCAGACAGCCAAGGGTCTCTCAAGCGCTATTAAGCAACGCCGAGCCGAGAAGGCTGCTCGATTCTCCGTGCCTCTCCCTAAAGTGCGTGGTATCTCCGAGGAGGAAATGTTCCGTGTCGTCAAGACCGGCAAAACACAGAGGAAGAGCTGGAAGAGAATGATTACGAAGCCGACGTTCGTGGGAGAGGGGTTCACTCGACAAAACCCCAAGCAGGAGCGATTCATCAGACCCTCTGGACTGAGATACAAGACGGCGCATGTCAGCCACCCAGAGCTGGGAATCACGATCAAGGCCCCCATCATTTCTGTCAAGAAGCATCCCTCCGACCCTCTGTACACTCGTCTTGGTGTCCTGTCGAAGGGATGTATCATTGAGGTCAACACAAGCGAATTGGGCATGACGACTACTTCTGGAAAGGTTGTGTTCGGTCGCTACGCCCAGATTACTAGTATGTCGTCACTTTCTTCCTAATACCCATTGACCTTTTCGTGCTGACCGCTATTCTAGATAATCCCGAGAACGATGGAACTGTCAATGCGTGAGTGCTCCCCAGTGCCTGCAAGAAACGTATAATTATGCTAACATTTTTGCAGTGTGCTACTGGTATAATGAATGTTTTTCAGGTTTGGTTGGGAAAAGGATGGGATGATGGCGGTGTCGCAATGTCGACAATCAGCCGACCACTGTACTCGCCCAGCTGCCATTTTTTGAGGTTTCTGATAAACTGCTCCAAGCACCAGGCCGTGAAGGGATTACTGGTTCAGGTAGTTGCAGGCGCAAGCAGTACGACGTTTTTTTTTTTTTTACACTTCCTCCAGTCATCATAAAGAGCAAAAAGTGTGGAGGACTAGATTAACTAGCGATGATCTCTATGACTCAAATAAATTCATGCCGCTACCTACATGTCATTAAAACATGAGATACACTCGATGACCTCCAAGTATCTTGCCCCAGGATCTAAGTTAGTGGAGTCAAGATCATGGGGAGCTTCCCCTCTAAATGATGCTCGGTCTGAATGAGGTGGTAAGAGGGAACACCTTTGGATTAGAAAATTTTATTTCGACTACCGAAGTAAACGATTCTTATTATCATTAAGTTACTCATCAAGGGCCCAGCAGCAATCAAAGAGTCCAGCTCATGAAGACTACCGGACCGTATTAATCACGTACAAGATCTATCCCAACTCCTTCCTCAGGTCCACGAGCATCTTGCTCAGCTCAAAGAGCTTCGAGCACAGCTTGGACGACTTCCCCTCCTCGTACAGCGCCTCCTCGAGCAGCTGATCCAGGCAGTCGATCCGGCCATTCGCCGCCTCCATCCGCCGCCGCATGTCGTCCCTCTCCCCCCGCACCTGCGCCACGCTCCGCCGCAGCCGCTCGTTGTCCAGCCGGAGGAACGCAGAGGACGCGTCCTGGGGCGCGTGCACGGCCGGCCGCCTCTCGTTGTTGCCGCTGCTGGTCCTGCTGTGGCGGCCGAAGACGTGGCCCGAGCCGGACTCGCCGGACTCGTCCGAGTGCCGCCGGGTCCGGGGCGTTGGGTAGAGATCTACGGACGAGGTGCTGACGTCCTCGTTGGGCTGGCTGGGCGGTGGAATGTGAGGGTCGTCGATGACGGCGATGTCGGCGTCGTACATGTACGCGGGGATCTGGGACCATGTGTCGTCTAATACTGCGGGCAGGTCTCCCATTGGGAGCATGTTGGGTAGATGTGAACTATGTCGTCGAAAAAGTTAGAGACGTGAAACGAAAATGATAAAGATACCGCATACAGAGAAGCGTTGTTGAATACATGGCCGCTGGGCGTCTGCATCCCTGACATCGGGAGCGGAATGCCAGCTACCTGAGACGCAGGGCCAGACAAGTTCGACGGTGTCCTGCTCTCGGAGAGTGGCACATAATCTGGAGATATTGTCAGTGACGGAAGGGAACGAGTAGGTGGTCGCTCGATGCCAACGTACAAGGGGTGAAACGGTAGCCTCCAAGCTCATCCTGCAACTGAGCCTCGGGGAGGAGAATCCGGAATAGGTGATACCAGTTCTCCTCTCCACCGCTCACGAAGCGCTGGCCGCGTACCTGCCGCCGCTGGTCCTCGGTCATCCAATACTTGGTCGGCGACGCCTTGCGCATGCACCCGTTCTTGCGGACGTGGTCTTGGAGCGTCTCCGACTTGGTGGGAAACGAGGCCCAGCACTTCTGGCATCGCACCGTGATGTCATGGTTTCGAAAGATGTGGGATCTTGAAACGATTAGTTGAACTCTATCGAAAATTCCGTATTTCTTTTGACTTACTTGACCCTTGAGAAACCCTCTGCCCCTCCCTCTGGGTTCTTCCGGCTGGGCATACAGCATAGCTGACACCCGATGGGATCCCATTTGTTGTACGGGCAGGCATACCTCGGCCGCTTGGACTGCCGTAGAGAATCGTACGGCGGTGATATCGGTTGCCCTGGCGGCGGTGGACGATTATTCGCCTCATCCTCGTCACTTCGACCTGGTCCCTCGTTGCTGATGCGCCGCGTTCGGCTCGCACCTGTGTTACGCCTGGAAGATGTTCTGTTCATGGAGGAGGACTGGCTGGAAGCTTGGTGAGAGGACGATGGGCCAGAATCATCGGATGGGGCAGACTCATCAACCGCGAAGTCGGTTGTTGGGACGACGTCAGTTTTGCGCCTCTTTGAATTTTGGTGGTCGCCTTCAGGGACATGGACATTGAGCGCATCAAGCACACGCTTCTTCCCACCGTCCGCGGATAACTCAGCCAAGGTTGGCAGTGAGGATGGCACGTCTGGGGGGGCCGAGCTGGGTAACGACTCTGGATTCGACTCGGGGGCAGATTCGTCGTCGTCTTCATTCCTGCTGAGGATCCATTCCAGGGACCTGGAGAGGTGCTCGTTGATCCTGTGCTGTTCGCTCATGACGAGAGTGGCTGCTTCCTGCCACGGCGAGGGGACGCGGGTCGAGACGAGAGAAGACTCGCCTGATGAACAAGGGTCCACGGTGGCCATTATGCTGCGCAGCTCCTGGGTAGGCTCTGCATAATAAGCGTCTGTGTCGCGAAGCCGAGCATCAAGAGTAGTATCTTCTAGATCCTCGGGGACTGGGGGAGGAAGGGTAGGCTCTGCAGAAGCCTCTACCTGGCTGGTGATCAAAGATTCGTGGATCTCTCCATCATGCTGCTCGTCCTCGGCGTGATGATCGAGGGGTCTTTCGGGCGATCGCGAACTGACAGACCACCGAAAATTATTCCTCTCACCACCAGGCTCTGGGCAGTCTTCAGGGAAGTGGTCTTGGACGAAGCTCTCCCACTCCCCGACCAGGTCGTTGATCTCAATGCCGCTGTCCAGAGACTGCGCGGAGGCAACCGTAAACGAACTCCCGGGTTCCGAGCACTCGGTCGGGGCGATCAGACTCGACAAGCCGCTCTCTTGGCGGACGATGCGAGGGAGAGAAGGATACTCGCACTCTACGCCCCTCTTGACGCAGTTCTCACACGATGGCTGTGTTTCTTGACACTATTTTCTCGACTGTCAGTATCATACATGCGATATGGAATGGAGGAACACCTGCCTTGACGTGTCTCATCTTGCAGCTGGAGCACCCCCTGCGAATCTTGGTGTGCAGCCGGCGCTCCAACCTAGGCTTTTCCATGTGGCCGGGAGCAACCTCGGTGGTGACGCTGCAGGAGTCAAAGGCCGGCGAGGTCGGACGCGGCTGCTGGGCATGCTCGTAATCGGCCATGAACGCATCGACGCTCCATGGCGGCTGGGCCAGGTCGCCGACGGGGGACAGTGGCGGGATGGTGCTGTACCCCGAGTCGCAGCTGTCGAGGCTTACGGTCGACCTGATGGATCCATTGCGGGTGAGCTCCGATGTTTCGGGAGGAGCGAGATGGTCCTTGTCGAGGCGGCATTGCCAGGCAGGCTTGTGGTCGAAGAAGGTGTCGTTGACGAACTCATGGGGCAGCATGTGCCAGAGGCGGTCGTTTTGGCGGGGGGAGTGGTGATGGCTCTCCATTGTGCGGGAGACGCTTATTTCCGGGCATATGAACTAACAGGATTGGCAATACAAAAGACGACCTTGGATTTCAGGAATGAAGAGAGAGAATGGGAGCTCAACAGAGCAGAGTACAATGGATGGCTCCCAGGCCTGCAAGGCGTCTTTCGAGTCGTGCGCACCATCGTGCTCACCACCAGTCCGTGACCCTCCACGCCAGAAGATGCCGTCTCTGGGGAAGAAGAGTGCCCGAATGTGCGAGCTAGACTTGTTTGGGGAAGAATCAGCGGTTCAGCTCTCATCTGCTCCCCCTGTTTGGATACATTGTCTGGCTGTTGGAAGCTGTTGGTAAGGCGGCCAAGGGGAAGAGTAAGCCCAGGGCTGACGGGCTGGCTTATCCCGCGTACGTCATGAACCTGCAGCTGTGCATGATGACGGGACCATCAAAGTCAATGGCACGGATAGCCAGGGCAGCAGCCTATAATTAACATGGCGCGGGATCTCATCGAGTGTGCCGGGACCTACTCGACCAAAGGCCTGGAACACACGCGATCATCTAATACGAAGTGGATTAGCAGACGGCTCCAGTCCCGGTGGCGGTTGTACCACCACACTGGAACGACTGTTATTAATAAACAGACGCGAGGCAGGCCTATCTTAAGAACTCGGCGTCTAGAGGTAGATCTGGCGTGATGTCGCATTTGCCAGCATATGCATGGTGGTTGCCTCAGGGAGGGCTTTAGGCAGCCATTGACACTCGACAATCTTGCGTCGCATGCACATGCACATACAGACAGACACCCGTCAGACTGGCACTCGGGCTATTGGTGGTGATGCTCAATGCAAGGAGTGCCGGGCGACGAACCAGGGCCATCCATGGCCTCGCAATTGGCTCCATGGCCGGCCCGCCAGGGGTCTCGGACCAGAGCCAAGGCGCCCGAAAGATGCCATGATGACGCTATATTGGAATCCTAGAGACCCCTTGGCGGCAGTTCCAATGATACGAGTACGGGTACATGTAAGCGGAAGTGCAGCAGCAGCATCACGGGAGGGCACACGCGTCGCCAGTGAGATGCAATGCAGCAGAAGGCCAAGAGAAGAACCGGTAGGGGAGATCTGAAACACAGGCCGTTCCTGAATCCATGCGACATGTGCACACGGCAGCTGCTCTCTCGCTTGTGCTGTGTGCTTGGTTGCATTGCCCGCGCCGCACACGAGTGCGGACACATCTGCGCCGGGCGCAAACATTGATTGTGATTGATGCCATCGCCAAATGCTGCTCTCTCTCAAGATGGGCAGCCTCATTGCTATATATTCGAGGGATCCCATCTGTATCCAAGCATGCGGCCATCTTATCTCGTTCAATCATCAGCGTACACCGTAGCTTGCTCTCATACTCTCATACCGTATCCGATTACATTGCTTCTTGAGCCTATACTACCTTACCTACTTACAACAAGGTACACGAACACAAGCACACATAGAGAGAGACAGACAGACACATATACACAGACAAGTACACATACAAACAGACGCACACACACACAGACTCATCCACAATGAGCCAACCAGCACCCGTCCGCCGGAGCAATCCCCAGCAACAAGGCGCCACCACATATACTACGTAAGTCTCATTACCAGCTTTACCAATTATCCCCATGTAACACTGAACCTAACATCCATCTTCCTCAGCACTTACCCGGTCAGCAATGCTGCCACCCAAGGATCATCGCGGGACGCCACCGGCTTTGGCACACAATCATCTCAATACCATTACCAACACCAGCACATCCCGCCCAATGGCAACTTTGATGTCTCGTTTGCGGGCTCCCAGTTCACTCAGTAGGACTGAAGGAATCAAAACATCAATGTAGATAGACATATACAAAGCGATCATTACAATTTACCCATTCCAGAATCCAGACCATCCCATACCATGCCATGCTCCACAATACCCAATAACCCATATCCCAAAGTGACATACTCCAACCCTCCTCCTCACGCACTCACCCCAGCCAGTCCGAGGCTGTTGTTGTGCCACGGCCGAGTGATGATCATCGGCAGCGCTGACTCCCCGCGACTGCGCCTCCACCGGTTCGTCGACTGCATCAGCTCCTGGCACCCCATCAGCGTCCATCCCCATTTCCACACAAACTCGGGCGTCACCTCCCAGCTCTCCACCCGGTGCGGTGCGCCGTACACGATGAACCCACCCCGCGGAGGCGCCGTCGCCTCGTCCTCCTGCGCCTCCTCTGGTGAACCCTCCCCCCCGGACGATGACCGCGACCCCTTGTCGAGGAGCTGGGGCCGGAAGAACCGGGAGAGGTCGATGAGCTGCCCGATCACGTCGTTGACAAGCTCGGCGTGGTCGAACTGGTGCTGTGCCCGGATGAGGTTGTCGCGCATCCGCGGGAACGGGAGCAGGTCGATCCACGTCGCGTGCTGCACCGTGATCTGCAGCTGCGTCGGCAGCAGCGAGACAGGCAGCTCCCCCGCCGACAGGGGCACGAAGACGGCGTTGCCCGGGTACGTCTGCTCCAGGTACGGCACGAGCGGCCCGTCGTCGCGCGCGGGCTCGCGGTAGTGCTGGGCCTTGCCCGACATGGAGTACTTGTTGGCCACGAGGGCGCGGAAGACGTTGAACTGGATCAGCTCGAGCAGCTGGTCCGCCGACACGCTGGCCGAGTACGTCTTGATGATGGCCGCGCGCGCCGAGCAGATGCACACGCTCATGTCCACGGGGTCCACGAAGGGCCCGAAGATGGTCGACGCCGGCGCGATGCCCCTTCGCGCTTGAGGCTCATCATCATCGTCAGCAGCGTCCGGCCTGGCCTTGCGGACGACGAGCTGCTGCTTCTCCGTGGCCTCGCCGTTGCTATAGTGCAGCCGCCAGCGGTCCACCTCGTACGGGCGGTCGGCCTTCTTGTCCGTCTTGTCCTCCTTGATGCGAGATCCTGTCCTCCCCCCCCAATCGGCGATTAGTAATTGATTGAATTGATGCTTGCCGTGATGCATGTCAAGACCCACTGCGCGCTCTCTGGTTGAGCCGGTTCTGTACTTTCTTGCGCTCCTTGCGCTCGCGAATATCGTCCTGCGTTGCCTCCATGGTAAAATGCAATTCGGATCTGGAGAGATGTGTCGACGACGGAGTCGCAGGGAGACGGGCGAGAGGGGGCCTATTTGGGGCAAAACGGTCAGCCCAGACCAAAGACCAGGGACTTGACGACGAGTCCAGAGCTTTTGCCTCATTGGGCCTCAGAGCCCCGGTTAACTTTAATTAGTTGGGAGACTAGGCCGCAAAGAGATAAAAATGTCAGCCGGCTCTCGTAAGGCGGGTTTCGGGATCGCCAAATGGTGCTGGCATGGATTATAATCCCGTGGTCGGTTCTTGACTGTCGTCCACCACCGCACCGGCGAGCTACTGTTTCGAGAAGCCTCCAGCAGACTTCATAGGGCTGTCAGGGGAAAGTGGCTTCTATCCCTGCAGTTCATCTCGACATGTGCTTTCGATGCTTACCGCTACCATCCGTCATCCACACTAACTCTCCAAAGCATCTAACTAACCTAGGTAATACCGAAGATTCGAAAGGTCTTATGACCTCGCCCATGATACAAGAACCTATATTCTGACCCATCGTCAGCCCAGCCTAGGTGAGACAGCTGGTAATGGTTTGAGAATAAGTCCTTATTAGCTATTTCAATCTCCTGCTTCAAGGCAAGACTGAAGAGGCGGGGTTGATCAACCCTGGGGCAATCCCCACGAAATATTCGGTTTTCCTCTAGAAGTTTGGGGTGAGATTGGGTATGAGGGTAGAACTTGACCTAATATTCCGTTGTCGTGATTCATTGTTGAAAACACCATGCAACTGCGAAGGCTTTGTTGGGACATAGATAGAGTATCTCGTCGCTACAGTGAGACTCCTCAGAAGAATTTGCCTCGATGAGCTGGGACTCGATTCCTTGTTCATCCCGGAGCCATAATTTCCCATCCCGAACCGAAATCTGAGGGGTGGTGTTTATGTCCTCTTCGCTCAGCTGAACAAAGCCGCCATCGTCTTGATGCTCCTGCGCTGGGGCCACATCACCCTTCCCAAGTAGAGCACCGATGGGGTTTTCTCCTTCTTTGCCCAAGTACTCATCAACATCCACCTCGTCGACGATGACAGTATCGTGCACTTTGTCTGGTACACGGTAAACCCCGCGCAATTGACGAGACACCGCATCTTCAAGCCTCCAAGAAACCCCAGAGTAAGTTTTCTCAAACAGCGTCTTGCCTTGGGAAATGGATGTGTGGGGCTTCACTGATCCCTTATGGTTGACATCGTTCAGAAATAAACGGGACCTTGTATTATTAATGAAGGTGACCGTAACAGGCCTACTGGCTGCAGTATCAGCAGAAGGCTCCTGCCTGCGCATGAGTGTCAGGTTCCCCTGCGTGAATGTTCCTGAACACTTGGATAGACCTTTGCCAGACCCGAAGTGCCAGATCTGCTCTCCGAAGCGAAAACGGACGTGGGAATCCTCAAGTTCAATCCATGAAAAGGGGAGTGCCTCCGGGTCGATTTTGATCTGTTTCTGCACATGCTCTGCCAGTGCAACGGCCAAAGCCTCGTGATCAAAGGCAGGGCGAATATTCTTGCTTTGAATCTCAACGTAGATGAATCTGTACTTGTCATCGCTTATTTGCCGACGGTACCAAAATGCCTGACCCCCAGGAAGCCAGTGCGGGGCGACGAACTTCTCGGCGAAGCATCTCTCCGCTACCGTGGGACCCATGGGTATTCTGGTGAGAATGTCTGGGTGTGGGTTGACTTCTGTACGTGGTATGATTGACACCCAATGTACGGAGAATGATTCAATGCTGGGCTCGTAGAAGATTGAGACCAAGACGCAAGAATAATGGGCTGAGATGGTCGCTAAGGCCACGTAGATTCTTCCGTTGGTGCCCTTTATATGCGCGGTTGGTGCAAAAAAACAGGTCATCCTTACATGCAGAATGTAGGCTGGCTGACTGACCCATAATAAAGAATGCACCAATGTATTCAGCAGTCGCCATCCGGTGAGGGAGTGTTTAATAATTCAAACTAAAGGGAAGGGGAAGGGCGGATTTCTTTGACCATAGAAGCAAGTAACAAGTAACGCATATGCCAAGTAATTTAAGTAATTACACCTAAAGTTATAAGTAGCCTTGGTTTAATAAGAATACTCTGTCTTTAAAATCAAATCTATTACTAGCTTACAAAGTATAAGCTAGAGCGTAAAATACTTCTTAATTATAGTTCGAGGGCCTAGGAGAGCCGGTCCAAGTCGACTGAAAATATCTCATGTAAATGAAGGTCAACCTTGAGCGATGAACGGGGGTTTGGAACAGACGAGAATGTTAGAAACGAGTTAAATTGCCATAAGAAGAATAAAAGAAGGAATCATCAGTTGAGCAAACTAAAAAAAGAACATCGTTATGTCTTTCGTCCTGAAAGAATTCAAACGTCAAGAGCTAATTTCTCCGTCAAATACATCTCAACGGACAAAAACTAGCGTTAACCACTTTCAGCAAGAATGACCCCATTCCCGTCAAGTTTGACCTCGAGATTCTGAGCATTGATCTTCAGCTCATCAACAGGACGGAGCCCCTCGCCCATCAACTCTCTAGCTCGAGGCCTGAGAGCGACAAGTAAAGCTAGTGAAGAATCCTTGGCGTCCTCATAGATTAGAGGCCCCCCCGTTTTACGAGATCGCCACTGTGACGATTGTGATTTTATGGTGATGGCTAGAAATCCAGCGGCAAGCGCTGTCTCAACAGTCAAAAATGACACCCAACCCCAATTGATTCGCACGTAAGATTCCTCTCTCCAAGCCTGGCCTGTGAAATTCGCATTATTTTCACGAGATCTATTCGAGTGGGTGGCTCGCATTCTGGGATTTTACTTTGCAGTTAGCTCATGGCTCACTCAGTTAGATACGACTGGCAGATGTATTTCAACTGACCGTTGTGACATGAGTGTGGCAACGTTCGTGAACATGTTCAAAATACGGTTATCACGCTCAGAGGTGCTTCTCAATGCATCGGGCGAGAAGATGGCATTGAGGAAGAGATGATATGCAAAAGTACCTCCGTTGTTCACTATGATAGGATCTTCTGAACTCGACGGGTTATAGGACACAGCCAGATGGCCTTGGAGTGCAGCTATAAGTGTTATGGCAGTGGCTTCCAATGGAGAGTAATCGATCCCGAATCTTTCGTCGCTGATAGAAGCGTCTTGGCCCTTTTCTCTAGGTAAAGGGGCCTCCAGATACATTGTGTCATTCCATCGTAGCTCATTGAACAAACAAGTTCTGGACAATGCATCCAGTATAGAGGTGCAGTTCAAATCTAGGAATGGCCCAGGTTCTTTGTCAAGTGGCCGGGTACTAGATTCTATGAGATGAGTAGTTTCCTTGCCCGACTGTACAATCGTTTGATACGATTGCACACAAACGTGGAACAAAAATTCCAAAGCCTCGTACTGAATTCCATCCGTTGAATCCATCGCCATTTTGAGAGTTATATCGTAGTCGTCGTTGAGCCCGTCCTCCCATGGACTTTTGTGCATGATTGGCTTTCCATAGATCAGCACTATGGATGCGACCCTTGTTCGTAGTAAATCCTCATTGTCTTGGAAACCAATACTTTTACTCCCATTTATATGATCTGTGATTAACGAGAAAGCATTTTGGTCGACCAGAGCTGGGCCACCGGGAAGAGAGGCCTTCCAAATTTCACCACCTTTAGGGAGTAAAAACGAGGGATATTGTGTGGAGTTTTGATAAAGTGGTAACCCTGTTGAATTATTATCTTCGAGTCGTTCGACACGTAAAAGTGAAGAGATATTGGCTCTTTTCAGGCAAACACCAAGCGAGTGATAGTTCTCAAATGTGCAATTTCCAGTGGAGCATGAAGCCCCCTGCGGCTCAATGGGACTCGAAAAGTCAGTGGTATCCAATGCTGTTGCTGCATATATCGCGTTATAGATGACAAGGTCTAATCTATACCACGAGGCGAAAATGGATCGAGTGATCCCAACATTGGCTTCCCCTGCAACGGCCACAGCTCTCACTGGGTAGCTAATTGCAAATTGAGTAAGGGGAGACGATAGGATGCTCACAACCATTAGAAAGGCTCCAATGCTTGTGAAGTGCCTAACATGAATCCGTTTCAGAAACACGAGAGAGCCCCAGGGACCCCTGCTCGCCTGGTCGAAAACGTGAAAATCGTAAAGCGGTCTCTCTTGCAAGAACCAGCCCCACTGGCCCTGGCTTATAGCCACGGATACTGGGGCCATGAATGCTGCTTTGGCAACAGTGACCAAGAGGGCGATGAGGGTGTTGAGTGTAACTGCTAGTGGCCATTCTGGCAAGCTGTTGCCGTCGAACCGAGCAAGAACCACGATGATCGCTACAGTTGTTCAATAACTACCCTTACCCCCAGAAGAGTGTGAAATATGTTTGAGTTCATACGTACCGACAAGAAGTAATGTACTGATTCCAATGGAGGCAATTTCAAGCGCCCAAACCCTATATATGGGACTGAAACCGGGCCTTTCTACTACTCTCTGTCTCTGTTTAAGAGGATGCGTAGCCGAGTTGTTCACTAGATTCGTTTTATGGGGATCATTTAGTGCGGGCGTTGTTTCGTGCAAAACAGTGTCGTCTATATCATCTGCATGCTCCGAGCCCATTTCATGATCAACAACGGGTGATGGAGGGCATGAAGGAACTAGCTCTGCAAGAGTAATATCCTCCTGGTCTGAACCTAGAAGCTCGTGCTCATGCTCGTTTCTAGTTGCCATTCTTGGTGCTTCCTAGGAACGCCCTGCCGGTTCATTGATAGAGAAAATGCTTACGATTTTTTTGTGGTCTTGAAAGCGATTAGACAACACACGGAATGATAAATGGAGAAGTTGAATGAGGGGAGTGAATTGATTATTGTGGCAATACCTAAGAAGCATATTTAAAACGCTCAATACCAACAAAGAATTTCGTAAAATTCACCCATTGGCATCCAATTCTGCCTACTCTTGCACTTCTATTTGCGTTGCTGTGAATATGACAGGATTCAAGCGTTTTAGGCTGATTGTATGCCGTCCTGGTCAGACAAATTGGTATTTTGGTGTTAGCGAGCATTAGTGTGTGCATTTTGTTTTGGCCCAAGTGGCCAGTATCAGCAATAATAAGCAGCCACGGTTTTATGCAAGCTGAATTCAAGAATAGATACTAGGATGTCTACTCGCGCTTTACTTGTCACGAATTAGTCTAGGCGAACAAGGCGTACAAGGTAGAGAATAGGTACACCCACCCGGTCTAAAGATAGAACGTAGGGAAAAGGTATGAGCTGCAAAAGTGATGGGCTGGTTGAAGCTTTAGGATCTGTACTATTACTCTTTGCTACGTGTCGGAGTCTTAAGCGATGACACCACCAGCAAAGTCGGTATGCGCAAGGGAATTATCATTGATGACGAAGTTGTATCATAGTCTTACTTCTACCGCACACTGAAATCAACAACAAGAGAAAGCTATCAATACTAGCTTCGCGACTAGAACATAAGTTTTGAGCTTCACAATCTCTGCAATATCTCTGCAACTAGCTTTGGTATGAATTGAATCCAGAAAAAAGATGAAAGGCCTTCGTTCGGACCTCGCGCCAGGGCCTCTTGGTTCAAGTGTGCCTTCTCTTCGAGGTCCAGGAGGTCCCAATGTGGTTTAGGATGGTTCCCTACTAAAAACCTTTAGTCTCCGAGCTTTACATCAACGTAGGGACAGGAATGGTTACCCGTGCCACAGGGGGTTTGGGCTTATGGCAGGGTATCAACTATCCTGCGGCTAGAGAATCTTTAGACTTACCGTCTTAGGTTCCGCACAGGTACGGCAAGCTGGACAATGATGCGATAGCAACTATGTCTGTTTCGCCAACCCAACTCTTTGGAATCTACTAGTTTCTTGATATCTAATTCGTTCGAACTCGCACAACCCTAGAGACAGATGCCTGTCTGCTCAGCGAAATCACCTTCAGCGTAGCAATAAGAGGAAGTGATGTATGACTATTAATATTCATCAGTTCCGTAACCGAACTGATCACTTACTGAATTCATATGGGAAAATTTAGTCTCCGAGGCTGGGCATAGATATGTCTCCGAAGCTGTTCACGCGAAGCTGTTCGCAATATGTCTCCGAGCTTGCAAGGCCATATCTGCTCGTGGGCCAATAGAATTGAAGCATGCACCTCTTTGGATGCAACCACGCTGCTTCCGAGGAGGATGAGTTAGTTTCGATTGGTGAGCGCTTCGCTTAAGTCCCACCTTCAACGAATAGACTAGTCTCCCTCTTATATTCAGGCTCTTCTCCACTATCAAGGCAACGGGGGTGTTGAAAGGGTGCGAGGGTGATATAAAAGGACTTGATGATCAGCTCATGGTATATCGCTCTTCATGTTTATAAACATACTTTGTCATATATATTCTTTGGAAATCAGGGGCTCCTCGTGAGAGAACAGATATGGACAGTAAGAAGATCCAAGAGACGCTGCGCAAGCAGTATGATGCGCTATCCACACTGGATGATGAAGGTATCGATAGGATGATCCGCCAGTCAGAAGACTTCATGGGCGGGATAGCAGGTCTGTTGCTCGAGCAGGCCGGCCTTGACTCAGGGACCACAACGAGCTTTGACCTTGTCGACCACGCTTGTGGCACAGGCCCGATCGCTGCCCGGCTGCAACAGACGATCCAACCAGACGTCCTGCGTCAGAGCAAGATTCTCTGCGCAGACGTAAACCAAGCGTTTGTTGACATTCTCACTAAGCGTGTGCGGAAGCTCGACTGGATCAACGTTGAAACCAAGGTTCTGGATGCTCAGGTATCGACCCAATCCACCGCAGAGAATAAACGAGAATGACTTCTCTTTTATAGTCACCATCGATTGATCTAACCAGCAAGCTGCAGGATTCGGGCATGGCTGGAGGTCTGTTCGACTATATGACGCTCAACTTCGCATTGCACATTATCCCAGAGCCAGAAGCTGTGCTGCGAGGTAACTTGCCTCCAACCTCCTCAAGACAGTCAGACGAGCTAATTGGCAATTCAGAGGCTTGTCGCGTCCTGCGCCCAGGAGGGACTCTCGCATTCAGCGTCGTTCATGCTGATACCGGTGTCGCGGGTGGGTGGGTGCCCGATCTACGGTCAACGCTCGAGACACTGCCTTTCAAGACTCCTCTCCCCAGTCCAGTGCAGATGGCAGTCCACGGCAAGCCAGAGTGGGTTGACCCAGAAGGCATCAAGAAGGCTCTATCAGCGCATGGCTTTGTTGATATTGTAGTAAGGACTATCGGCACGCCTCAGCACGTAAAAGGTCCTGAGGAGTTCGCGACAAAATTCTCCATGATTTTCAAGTGGATCATGGACACATATTGGACTGAGGAGCAGATCGCGGAGTACCAGGCTGGGTTTCGTGATAGGGTCATTGAGCACCTGACTGAGAAACATGGGAATTCTGGGTGGGACCTACAGGGAACCGCAATTCTTGCGACGGCGAAGACGCCTCAATAGCTGCCAACATTTGCCTACGAAGTGAGACAGCTTAGGCGAGTGTTTTAATGAGGTTGGATAAACATATCCGGTGGTTGCAAATAGCATGCCAAATGACTAGGGTTAAATCTTGCCCTTGTCGGTGAAGGATAGAAGATGAGAAGCCAGGGGGAAAAGGGCAGTTTATATAGTTCGACGAGCGGCTCGTCCCGACGGCAAGTGAGTCATCCTTGTGAAGGTTTACAGACTTTTCCTTCCGCATGACTGCAGCCTTTGACTAGCGAAGCTTATACTTACCTTTCGTATTCATTGCGTTGCGATGTCGGGTCTGGCATCTTCTATTGTTGTTTAACTTTTATACTCGAACTCTCTTTCGCAAATAACATGCCTCCTATTATTAGGTAGAGTTAAGTGGGCGGCACAGACCGTTATAGGTACGATAACAATAAGGCTGCTTTTATTTTAACCTCGTAGTCATTGTGTTGAGATGCCGGGTCTGGCCTCTTCCATTATTGTTTTTTTACTTTATACTCGAACTTTCATCAGGGGAGGAGATAATACACAATACATCAGAGGCAATTTTGGGTTGTCACATGCAATAACAGAAAGAAAAGGTCAAGGCAGCTAGATCTGGCTGGGTTTATCATGTTATAGTGAAATTCTTCCTAGTCCTGTAGATGACAATTAGGATGACAAGGATGGGCAGCGGATTATTATGTAAGAGTAGCACGGCTCTCTATGATTATCTTGAGGTGGGAAAGCAGCATCGAGCAGTCCTTAGGCCTTAAGCTCGGCAGCTCGAGTTGTAACCACGTCTTTGCCGTCAGTAGAGGCATCGGCCTCATCATACGACGGAGTTGACTCATCATCTAGATCAGCTAAACCTGTAAGACTCGTTCCGTGTGACGTCTCGGAGATTCCTGTGTATGCCACCCAGCCAAGCCCGGGAGCGGCTATGAAGAACAGAGCAAGGTTGATGGCGCAGGCGCCGACGAGGCTGAATTTTTTAACACCAATGACAAACCCGAATGTCGAACCAACCGATCCAATAGAGTTGATCAGAGCCGAAAGGAATGCGGCCTCGTTCACATTGTTGGTCAGGCTTCCTGCGATCCAGTACTTATAAGTCGTGACGCTGAAAATATAGTTAGACTCTCTCAAAAAGGTCATTGGGCAGGGCCTGAGATTCTGAATACTTACATGGGATCAGATGCACCCCAGAGAAGGAACACAAAGCAGCCGAGTCCATACTCGGTCTCGGCCCAGTCAAGAGTCGGCGTAGTCTTTGCGTAATGAACCTGCACAGCTTGGCCGATGATCCAGGAGGCGCCGACTGAGAAGAACAGCACTAGGAAACCGACGCGGGCTCTGGTCTTCCTAGAGAACCTCTGCCAGTCAAGGAACTGCCCCAGGAGCCAGGAGGCGAGGAACCCGCTGATGTAGAAGAGCATGGAGTTGAGAGCGCGAGATCGGACAGTGAAGTAGGAGTAGTTGAATTTCCACTGGTAGGCGAGGAACCACTGTGCGTACAGCATCATCGGCATCATCGCAAGCACCTTTGGCTGTTTGAGAAGTGCCCAGAGGATTCTGAACTCGCTGAGAATGGATTTGCTCTTTTTGAGGATGACTTTGCGACCGTCGCTGCGCTGGACTCGATCGGCGGCGGGGAGGAAGAGCGAGAAGGGCAGTCCAATGCACATGATGACGATCATGACAATGTAGGTGGCGTTGCTGATAGAGCCGCGGTAGTTTCGGGTGACGTTCAAGGCAAGGCTGATGATACCGCCGATGGAGGCACCTAGATTCTGTAGCATAAATTTCAAAGATGCTTTTCATGAATGTCAGTCAGAATGTTTCTTCATCTCACTGTCGCAGGCGACCAATGGAGGAACCTACTCGCAAGACCCTTGCGGTGCTCTTCGGGATATCCCATGAAGATGGCGCCGCTCGCTACCCAAAGAAAACAGGCAGAGAGACCACACGTCACAGAACCAAACAGAAGCAGCCACTCCTGGCCGTATTTATCGACAACGAAGAAACCGGCGGCGTAAGGGGCGTACCCAAGAGTGCCGATCTAGGGAAGATCGTTAGCACATCACAAGATCAACTTCTAATCAAAGTGTCACAAGCCTCGGAACATACCACCAAGGTCCATTTGGGAGTCAGCCATCCACAGATTGCACCGACAATAGGCGATCCGAGAGCAATGACAGCAAAAACGACGGCGTTGGCTGCATCCGAGACTTCAGGTTTTGCGCCGCCTCCAGCCCCCATACCGTTGAGGGCGCCAAAGATACCGGGGCATGTGAAAGCAGTTATGGCCACGATCAAGGCCGAGAAAATGGAAGATCGATACCAAGTGACGGGCGCTCGGCCCTCCTCAGCCGTGAAACCCATGGCGAAAGAGCTGGCCGGGAATAACGATTCTGACGGGATAAGTTATGGTTCTTTTGAAAGGGAACACTTGACAGCTGCGAGGTCATATCTCAGCAGAAACCAATTCGGGAAGGATATATAGCATGGCTTTATGCCTCGGAGGAGAATCTTTCTTGACCCTGTAATGGCAACGCTGGTTAGATTTAGGTTTCCGGATTGCGCAATTCATGTCTATGTCGATATCAGGGACTATTTAACAGAGGCTTGACTAGGTTTTACACACCCTCCGGAGCAAAGAGTGGAACAACGCGAGTCAGGGGCCATTTTAACAGGACAAAGACCGCCAATGCAATGATCCAGGGCCCAATCACGCAAGAGGCGGGGTTGGCGAGTAGACCCAGCGTCCCAGTGCGCCGGGATTCCGTGTGAGGGCATCAACGCCTTCGTAGGGGTCTGATCACGTCTTTCTGGGAATGGATCTCGTCACATTTATTGGAACCGATAACAATCGGCAGATGCAAGAGGCAACCGAAAGTTCCCGCTCTGCAATTGACGGGATCAGCTATCTCGATATGCTTATAGTTCGAGACTATATGAAATCATGTTCTTGCAGCTTGGACGTACACTGTAGCTCCTCCATAGAATTTGAACTTTCCAAAAATCCGACCTTCTTGAAAATTTCGCAAACCATGGTGGATCTAGTTGCAAACAACTCAACGAATCCCGGCAAGCTCCGGATAGCGTATGTGAAGGAATACATCCCAGTCTAACTTCAGCAAGCTAATTTTTGAGTTTTCAAGCATCGTCGGAACTGGGCTCGTCGGAAGCGCAGCTCTGTTGGCTTTATCGGGGCTCCAGGATGTCGAGGTTGTGGGTTTCGAAAAGTCACCGGTGCCTCGGGAGGCAGGGGCTTGGATCAGTTTGACGGTAACAGGCCAGCTGGTCCTGACCAAGCTGATCTCTCCGGAGAAGATCAACGAAATAGTGTATCGGCCCCCTGACCGAGCAGTCTATGTGACTAGGCACTGGAGGACTGGCGAAGACTTGGTCAGGCAGTATTCTTCGGAACACATCAAGGAGGACTTTATCCAAGCCCGCACTCACCGATGGCCGTTGCTGAAACTTTTGATGGATCACCACCCCAAGGATGCTGTGCAGTATGGGAAGCAAGTCGCGGCAGTAAGAAACAGTGATGTGGGAGCTAAGTTGGAGTTTGCCAATGGTGAAACCACTCCGGACTTTGACCTGGTGGTCGCGGCAGATGGAATCTACTCTGGCATCAGGCGGCAATATTGGCCTGACCACCAAGTTCAGTTCAAGGGCGCCGTGGCATATCGCAACGTCTTTCACAAATCAAGAGTTGCGCATATCAAAGAGCTTCACGACGACTCTTCATCCTGGAGACGTGACGGCGAGGTCGTCTTTTTGTCCGAACTTGGTCTCGATCAGTACGGAGTGGTCATCATCAAAACAGAAGAGCCAGAGTACGCTGCGACCCTGAGGTGGGAGCGCTCGATTAGCCAGGAGGGACTGAACCGGCTCCGAGATCACTACAAAGACTGGGATCCGGTTATTTCCAAAGTTCTGGATACTGTAGAGGAAATCCAAGCCTACCCACTAGATTCAGGCCCTTGGCTCCGCGAATTGACCAGGGACGACCGGGTCGTTTTCATCGGCGATGCCTCGCACCCAACGGCCGGTGCGTACGGAGCAGGCGCAGCCATGGGGTTTGGGGACGCGTGGGCCCTGTATCGATCTCTGGAGTTAACTCGAAGGAGGGGCCGGGGCCGGCGAGAAACGGCGGGATACGACCTTCACAAGGCACTCCAGGTCTTCCAGCAAACACGTGCGCCGTTCCTGTTGCGTGTGGAGCAGCAGATGGCACTAGACCGAGACACTGCCAGTTATGTGGCTGAAGCAGCTGGGGATGAGGATGAGTGGAAGCGTCGATTCAAGGAGAGTGGAGCAAGTATTCGGTGGTTACAAGAGCACGATGTAGAGCTAGAGGTTTTGAAGGCTGTTTCAACAGTTGGTGTGTGGAAGATATAAGAATGACGAGGGTTGCTTGATCATTAATCTTCCAAAGCTACATAGTAAATTTCCCCTTGGTAGAATAGTTTTTTGTGATACCAACACGATAGACCTAGATGTGAATTGGTTGATAGTCATGATCCGTCTTGTGACTGAATATCAAGTCCTTATCCCTACCCCTCGCCCTGGGACCAGATCCAATACCAAATTGTTCGATGCTATGAACAAGTGGTGTTCACACCAACTACATGGATGATTTCTAATGAACCAAGATGTCGGGATTCTTATTTTAGTTAGCTCTTAAGCATAGGTTTCTATTCATTGCATCAGATCATAAACCCACTCCCCGAGTCAGCCTCAATGACGAATCTACCATCCAGATCTGAAGCCCGCTTAACACTTAGATTTAAAAGCCGCCTTCACAACTAGATTTGAAACCCGCCCTGGTATTTGGTCGGAATTATGACCCAGCTACGGATAAGGCGACTAGATAAAGCCCCCTCGGCTTATACAACGATCATGCCATGCGGTGTGCAGCTGACGTTCAAGACCCCGCCTTGGCACATCCGTCTAAATCGGACGGTCTGGACAGTCCTCCCCCCAAAGAAACACGGCCTGCTCACGCCCTGGCTGAAAACTACTTACTAGGGCCTCATTATTAATAATATTCTATTCAACTCAACTGCTTGGCGAGTTAAGCGCTGCATCACAATTGGCCATGATAAGAGCGCTGTTGTGAGCCTCCAAAAATGGGGACTGGGGCTCTAGGTCGATGGCGTAGTTTTCCAGCATATATCGCAATTCCTTCCATGTGGAGAGTGGGTACTGGTGTATTGAGTCCAAGTCACCCAGAGTTCCAGCGTTCCTTTATCTTAGTTTATGGCCTGATTATTTACTTGATTCGCGACATGAGATACGACTGACGACACTCTTCCCTGTCGGCATCTGGTTTCAAATATCTGATAAGCTGCTCGTTCGAAGTTATCCGCCCACAACTGATCAATTCTCCGACTTCAAGCAACCCGACCACCTGCACTTCCCCAAGGTAATAACTGCACTAAAGTTTCATTTAACACAATGACGAATGACAAGCCACGAACAACCATCAAGGTTGCGATTATAGGCGGCGGCCCTGCAGGCCTAGGAGCCGCCATTGCTCTATCACGGCTCCCCTTTGTTGACTGGACGCTATATGAGAAAAAGACAGAAATCAGCGAGATTGGAAACGGCCTCACCCTGCAACCAATCACATGGCGCGTGCTCGAGCATTTTGGGGCGTCCCATCATATCAAGAGCGACGATATTTTCAGGCCCATTGACGGCCATAATACCGAGCATCGGTACGTCAACCTCTGTGCTCTTTGTTTCATGTGTTAACTAATTTGTAACTAGAAATGGTCTATCTGGGGTGCTGGAAGCCAAGGCCGCTTCGAAAGAAGGCGTGCCGCCGCACCAAGAATCCTGTAGGGCTCACAGGTCGGTTTTGCAGCAAGCATTGTTGAAGGAGGTCGACCAGAGCCGCATTAGAGTAGGGAAAAAACTAGAGAACGTCGAGAAGCTAAGTTCGGGCAAATTACGCATCACGTTCGCTGGGGGATTCTCAGATGAGGTCGATCTCCTCATTGGTGCTGATGGTATCCGCTCAGTAAGATCAAGCCGACACCCTTTATCAGAATAAGAGAAAGAGATGGATAACATGGGCTGACTGTTTCTTAGGTTGTGCGTCAATTCTTCTTTCCAGAACATCGTATCGCCTATACCGGCTCGACAGCATACAGAACGCTGGTGAGGACAGATGAGGCCGAGAAAATCAACGGCCTGCCCAAGGCCGTCATTTTCTGGCATGGAACTGACAAGAAATGGGTCTACACTTGTCCCCTTGGCGGCAACGACTGGGAAATCACCTGCGCCGTTGCAGAGCCCGGCGGTGAGAACCGCTCGAGCTGGGGGAAACAAGCCAGTGTGAAGCATTTCACCGATACCTTTTCGGAGATGTGTCAGCCGATCCAAGAGCTCTTCAAGCTGGTCACATATGTGGAGCAGTATGACTACTTCGCAGGCCCGAGACTGGATTCAGTAACCCACGATGGTGTTGCAGTCCTGATTGGCGACGCTTCACACCCTCTATCGGGCGCGTTTGGGGCCGGGGCCGGCTTTGCACTCGAAGATGCATATGTCCTCGGCCAGGCATTGCAGTGGGCAAATGATACCCACCGAGAGCTTAAACATGCTTTGCAACTCTTTGACCAGGTTCGGTCTCCTCATTACAGCGCTCTGTATAAAGTACTGGACGAATTTGGCGAGACGGAAAAGTATCTGGCACATGCTGGACTGAACCAAGAGCAGGAGATCACTGAGAGAATCAAGAGGAACTGGGGACATAACGCTAATTGGATGCATTACTACGAAGTAAGTTATAACGTAATCCTCTCCTTATTGCTATGATTGCTAATGGATATTCCAGGTGGATAAAGCATTTAAACAGGTTCTGTCAAAGGTCGAGAGCCAAACTGCGAAGTTATAGATAGATATATCATAATGAGGTGCACTTGACACCCACCACTTGTAGCTCGACATGAGATATAAGACCGATACCGCACTTACAGGAATAAGGCCCGCAAAATTCAGCCTACCAGGCTGCATTGATTAGCTACTGAGAACAGCTTCTTGTTTGCCCTCTGATCTAGCCATCCATTTTGACCTGCCAGCTAGCTACTGCTGGTGACAGCCTCTTCGTGTGTATGATCTAGCTGTCCAGTTTAACCTGCTTGCTAGCTGCTGCTCGAGACAGCCTCTTCGTATGTATGCGATCTGGCTGTATATGTGAGACTAACCTTGATAGGTGTGTGTAAGTCAATTGCGGTATCGGATGTACGTCACATGTCAAGTCAAGCGTATCCCTATATGATTTACGCTCGAGTTCTGAATTTCAAAGCTTAGGGTGCATGGCCCTGTTGAAACTTTTTGATACTTGAATTTTAGGGTTTATCTTCAAGAATCCGTAGATCCTGCTGGTCTTGAGTCGGGAGTGTATTATAGATAATTTTGCAGTAAACATACCATCTCCCGAAGGGATCCACCGGGTCTTGAACACAAATCGTATTTAGGTGCGTTATTTTCCTGTTCGAGATAACCTATCTGGTGGCAAAAATGCAATAGATCATCATCATCGTTAAACTTTTGTCTGTTCTTGTCCTTGATCTCTGAGCTTGGAATAACCTGAGCGGTCATGAGGCTCGGACAGGCACTGATATTCCGGAAATTTCCAGGTGTTTCTCCGTGATGTATCGTATCTACCAAGATTAAAGCCACACTACACTGGCAGTTCGGAAAAACCTTTTCTGTTTTTTAACGCTGGTAGCGCGATGGCATGGTTTCTCTTTTGAACTGTATCTATGTGGCTGCCGTGGCGACACACGCCATATATTAGTAAGTTAATGTACGAAAAACGAAAAAAAAAAGTAAGGCATGAATGAAATTTCCCCCTTTCTCCGATTTCCATTGCGGGGAACATTCATCCGGGGTACCATTAGCGCACTAAATGGTAGACATAACCCGGTCTTTACTCACAAAATGGGCCTGTCGTGCTTGTCGTCCATCCAGCTACTAGGTGATTGGATATCTAGATTTGTCACGCTTTTGCAAGTCCAGCCATCTTATTTTCATATCATATACAACAATTGTGTTGCGTTGTCAGGCTCTGGCAGCTTCCATTGCTGTTGAACTTTATTCTCTTCCTCTTACGTATCATAACAACAAAGACTTCAAAATAAATAACGTCACTCACTTTAGAGAAGAAGAGCCACGGAGGCTGCGGCTTGGTTGGACATGGACAGGATTGAATGACATTGCCACGCTCGAAAGTGGCTGGAGCCTTGAGTTCATGAGGCGACCAGACTTTGAAGCTCATGAGATGGCTCAAACCAATTTTGGTGATAGTGAGATTGTGTAGAGTTTTTGGGACAAACTTTTTTTGATAAACCACAAGACAAAAGGCTCTAGTAACAAGCTCACAGACGAGACGCCCAAGTACGGAGATATTGCGTCAAAAAACCTAAGAAACTCGCCGAGGCCAAAGTGTACTACAGCTTTTGAAAATTTGAAACAATGACAGGTAAGCATAAAAGCCCTCCATTCCTCTCCAATGAACATCTCATCCACACAAATTCATTGGGGAAAACAAGAAGCGAGTGCAAAAGAATCGGAGGGGTGATTGCCTCCGTTTCCAACAACACTCATGGCTTCTGCAAACAACATCCCAGACCGACACAGCGGCGATGCCGACGGAATGAGTAGAGAGACTTCCGCCGCTGATGCCCCTGGGCCGTTGACTCATTTTCATCCATTCCGCAAGTTACCACCCGAGCTCCGTTATAAGATCTGGAGGATGGCTATCTGGACGGAAAAGACACCAAAGATCCATTACTACTCGTTATATAATGAGGAAGACGGAGGCCACCGGGAGAGCTCCCTACCGTGGCTGATCGACAGCTTCATGCAGCCGGGATCGAAAGACTGGGTGTGCAAGCCTGTTGCCCGTCATCCACTACGGTCCAAGCCGCAGCAGTGTTCCTGGACCGAATATAATCGTGTCCTATGCTACTGGAATGCTGGCCTCCGAACTGCGTGTTGGGAGTCTCGAACAATTCTCGGACGCTACCACGGTCGCAGGCCAAGAAGGAAGGATCCCTTCGCCTTCGTTAACAAGCGCCCGTCCAAGAGGAGGCCCTCCAAGAAGAAGAACAAGAACAAGAACAAGAAGTCTTCTTCAACCACGAATCCTCGGAAGGTCGTCACCATACGCGAAACAGGCAAAAATATCTACCTTGACTTCTCTAAGCGCGATATTGTATGTTTCCGATTCCCACCCGACCAAATGTCTCGCTGCGTCTTCCTTAAATGGGAGGAACTACTTACCCGGCTCCCATTCTATCATCTTCCACAGAATTCAGACATAAACATTGCTTTCGAATTCGAACACAGTTGGAACGAGGGCCTGGGAACAACTGCGCGTTCTATTCGCAAAAACCTAGAGGAGGCTTCGGCAAGAGGTCTGGTCTTGAGAGCCTACTGGGCATGGAGGGTGGGAATCCTTCCACGATGGACTCGGTTGTACCTTATTGATCGAGAAGAGGCACTCCCACCCAAATATCAGGTTGGGAGAAGTTACGATTTACGGTACATGCACAGTTTCGCGTACAGCAGGGAATTCCCGTGCCAGTGCCGAGAAAGCCGTGTATTTATGGATGGAGAGAGTGAATATGTGGAAAGCTATTCATGGGATCGCGAAGGACAGAATCGCCTCAATTGCCATGCGGACTCTGTGCCTGTGGCCGGGTTCATCCGGACGGTGGACCGGTTCCATCGCCCATCCCCGGATCAACTCTGCGATAGTCGGGATCTTCCCTTCTATGGTGAGATCTTTTTCAGGGTGTTGCGACCGGTCCCCAGGATAGAGGATATTGGGTGAAAATAACCCAATCGGATGGGAGTTCTCTACGTTGTTCAATCCGTAAATGTACGCCTGGTCTAGAATTCTTTGAGTATTAGTATAGGAAGAAAAGACACAGACAAGCCAGTGGAGGATAATAAAAATGAAATTTGAAGTTGAAGTGCCATTTGAGCCTCACTTTCATAGCCCTGTGACAGATACCACGTATTTGTTTGAAGTTTCAAGACATCAACACCCTCTTCTAGTCTTCGCCGTGATATTCGTCAAATCAATAAGTCTTCTACATCTTAACGAGTGAGTCCACGACAGTTTACAGCGACAATGGATTGTGGGGTGACCAATTGAGTCAAGATGGTACTGAAATCGCAACTCTAGGAGCTTGTTGACGAGTAATGAGACTAGGGCATGGCATCCAAACAAATGTTCCATCTATGCAACCACTCACAAGTGCTGCAACTGCATGCTTTGAATCACGAGGAAACGTTAATCAAATACGAATCACCTTAGAAGACTTGACTAGTAGTGGCGAGGCGGACACCATCTTAGCAAATTTTGCCCACAAGGTAATGCTTCGACGTAGATACACACGAGGATGGCTGATGGAAGACAGTAGAGCATTCCATCCTCACTGACTTTCCAACAAAAAAAATGGTTCCCCTAACCCCTTTTTTACTCAACCCAGCCATGAGTATAGGAGTAAAAAGACCGGAAACCAGGAAAGAGTTTTAGGCAACATAAAATATAGCCAGTTTGTAACACAGCCATGAATATATTCAATTTATTTGCCTTCATGGCGATAAGCCAAGACATCGAGCCGCGGTCGAGGTTTCTCGGTGACTTACTCAACTGCCTTCAGATTGCTTGGGCACGTGCTAGCCGTGGCTGTGTTAAGCGCCTCATTACTGCTCAGACACTAAATTCGCCATGTCAAGGGAACTCAGTTATCTCGCCACCGTTCATTTGAAGCGGGCAATGGAAGTTCCTCGCCTTACTTTCGACCACCTTGGAGAGAAACTTGGTTGGGGACTTACATGATGCGACGTCGCCCAACTCTATTCTGTAGTTGTGGCCACTTGCCACTGCACCAATCGACCTCTAACACGAGCAACACTACATGATTTCGCCACATTACAACAAGGTTTGCCCTGTATGATGGATGCCTGGCCCTTTCAGCGGGTGACATGAAATGTAGCACATAGACACTCTAATCCGGTGGAACGTGCATGATGTGGGGAGGGGAACAATAGATTCGACCAAAAGAGATTGGCTGGGTGAGTGTTATGTTCACAACTGTCGGCTGAGGGCTAAAGGCCCGTAACTTGCACTTTGGAAGTTCACTCGAGTGTGCCACGTTCTGTCTCACCAATTGCCTGCCCAAGAGCCGAAGGCACAAGGCGTGTGAGGTTGGGCTTGTTTTGCCACGAAGCAAGTTGATAGGTCGCCTGCAATGCCGATCAGGCTTTACATCCAGTCGTACGCGAGAAGGCTCAAGCCGAAGGATACGTAATGAAGGATATCAGGATATGTACCTCGAACTCCGTGTTTCAAGCAAAACTACTACAATTCTAGAAGTGATCGTCCGTAAACTGCTGATCATATCAGGCAGAACTAAGATGCACAAATGGGAGCCCAACCAAGTTGCAAACTCCAACTCCAAAGAGCACATCCCAGCACGTCCCACTTTTCCCGGGAGAACAACCGGATCCGCCTCTTCCTGGTTGGAACATCCGGGCACTAGTTTAGCCTCGATGAAGGGCACATGGATAGATCACGCTATTCGGTGTGTGGACATGGCAATGCAGCATTGGCATAACTGATGAACTGTCAAGAAAACGAGCCCTACTGGTACAGCAAAGAGAGGAGCTAAGAGGGTGTTCAACCGTCGTCCCAAGACCACCACGCATAAACGCCAAGACCTGCTCAGGCTGGCGCTGCATAACGTATCTGCCGTGCCGATCACTCAAAGACAAATCCCAGCCCACCGAGAGTCCTCCGTGGTTGCGTCTTCCTCCAGATCCCTATCCCTGTAGTCGACGTCTTGCCAGCCCACCCCCCTCCCCTTGGTAGGATAACAGAACAGCCCCCTCGGACATCCTAGAGCTTTGCGGGGATTACATCTGGGTTGCTTGTTGGGCAGGCATATTCCAGGCGCGTCGCATGCCATTCCACAGCTAGTCGGGTCTCTGGGGTCATCCTTGCACGTCTCGGTATTTTCGTCGCATGGGGGAGGCCCGGGATTGATGCGGAAGCCACCGCAGGAAGGGTATACGTTCTTCCAGGTGCACCAGCCTGGGCAACGGTTCAAGTTTGTACATTTGTCCGAGTCGGGTTTACAGTACATGTCTTTGGCGCATGGGGCGATTTTGAACCCGCAGGAGCGGCCAAGGAGCTGGCCAGCCACGAGCTGGGATGATGCCAGCACGAGGAGTGAGAGATAGGCAGTGATCTGCATTTTGGTGTTTTTCTCTCTGAATGATTTGAGAGCGGAAATGCGGGTGCGGGAAATACGTTGGCCCCGAAGAGAGGGTATTCTTGTTCACGCTTTCACAGTTGAATTAATTGCCTTGAGTTTGCGAGGTGTTTGACTTGGTCAGTGTAGCTATCTTGGATGGTCAAAGGCTTGTTTTTAACCTTGAATTTGTGTTCAAGGGAGAGAAATGTAAGTCAAGTTTAGTCAAGGGTAGCATTCTTGCCGGCCATAATTCCCCCGCGGCTGAGTGAACAGTTTCATTGGTGTCTAAGACAACTTCAGCTGGCCTTCTCAATGTTGTCATGTAGTCACCACAAACCCCAGGACATGACAAAGTCAGTCAAACACATCCCCCTTCGCCAAACCTTCGATTCCTCCCCCGAATGTTCGCCCTAATCGCCGCTAAAACGCCATGTGCAGCCCTGAATCTACCTTCTTGTATCCCATTCGTGCATGCAATACCCGCCTTTCCCGTCGGCAAATCGCCTGATTGAAAGACATGAAACGGTATGCTTATGCTGGCCATCCTTGCTCTACGGCAGAACCGCCCACTCTTTCTTGTCTTCTCCATATTCTCTCTTAGAGTTTCGGTCGGAGAGGGAGGGCTGCCACTTGGCATCTTCACCGGTGGATTTTTCGTTGCTGCAAATCCATCAATCGCCACATCTGATGCCACCTACCGATGCAGAGTGAGGACACCTTGCTTTCGATCGTCTTGTGCATTGTTACATCCCAATCATGAGCGCCTGAAGCCATCCCACTGGAGCCTGGCTGGCGCGAATGATCCATGAATGTCAATGGGCTGGTGCTACTCCCTCTTTTTTCTCGCCTTGTATATTCGGCTGAGATAGCACACATGAATAACTTCGGGGGGGGTTTAATGGCAATACACTCTAAATGAGTTGTAGGTCGCTGTTGCATGATGTTGTGCATTCATTATGTTGAGATGTCGGGTCTAGCATCTTTCATTGCTGTTTTTTTTTACTTTGTACTCGAACTCTCTCACCCTCACCCGCATGATGCTGTGGATGGTGGTCTTATTTGTCGTGCCTCCGAGGAAAGATCAGCATGCATTCCTGCACTTCTCGTTCAGGTTACACCTCGGAGCATTCTACAGTTTTTTACCTTTTTGCACAGTCCCCTCTCCGCCGATCCTGCTCGGTAATGCCTGGATTCATGTCTTGACTTGGTAATGATCTGAGCATTGGGCATTGGAATGTCGAGCTCCAGGCTAGCCATAGCCAGTGAATCACATATTTTCCTTAAGTGAGCTTCCTCTTTCGGCAGCCGCTCTTGAAGACCTATTCCAAAATTGAACAGAACGTAAACTTTATAAGCGGCAATGTTCAGATGAAGCCAGAGCTGATAGTAGGAAATCTCTCATCTCATACGAGCGAAGAAGCGGAGTGGAAGACATATCCCGCAGTCTAACAGCTGCTTCGCCACTCTTTTTTTTTTTTTTTTTTTTTCTTTTTTTACCGCTCTCCGTGTCTAGCCATACAGAGACGTCCAGCTAATCTTTCCTCGGCGCACGTTCCCTGTCCGAAACCGCCGTGACAAGAAAACTGATACCTCAAATGCAGGAAATGATGAATCTTCAGTGCCGTTCGTCAGCATGATATCTTCTGGGCGGCCGGCAATTTGAATCTGGCCGACCGCATAGGTACAGAGCCGGGTCTTCCTGGCAAAAAGTGTAGGAATGTGGAGAGCCAGCGCGCGGTTTACGGACGGCATGTGGAGGTATGTGATGTGTTTTACGGCCATGTGATATCTCAGAACGAGCGAGATGGGTCGGTCTGCTACGGAGAGGGGCGGTGGTAGCTGTCAGCCACATGGCACCGGGGCTTAGGTACATAGAGTTCGGCACGGGGCGGCTAAGCAAGGATCCCCCTGCGGTTTTGACGCATGGAAAAGTCAAAAAGACGGTTGGGCCGGTACGGTGAGCGTGTGAGGGGAGCTGAAACATGCCAGCCAATGGGTGGGTTGCCCGGCGGCCAGTGGCTGCATGTGCTTATTGTGACAGGCAGTCCAGTTGATATCTTAACCCGTTCTGATTGTTGACTAATAAGTGAGACAGCGGAAGAGGCAGAGGCGGTTCATTCAGCGGTCTGGCGGTTACGAGATGGGATGGATGTGACTCAGCTGAGGCACAGGAGCTGACCACAAATCTCTCGCGCGAGCTCTCATAATCCCATTCTACAAAAGGCCAGTTGGACCCCTGGTAAATTCTTTTCAAGCTGCTCGTAGTGTGGGGGACCCCGTTCGTTCCCATTTATTTCAGCTTGCACAAATTTTCACTTTTCTGTATCTAACTCGGTGGCGTTAGGCCTCTGCACAGCGTTCCGGGTGACGGCACTGCGTGAGGTTAGTGCCTGAAGAATGAGAGCTCATTTTTCTCGGGTTACTCTTTTCTCTTGAGCACATTTAATGACGGGGGGGGTGAAAGAGGAGCCCAATGCCCCATCCATGTGGAGGGTTCACTTCCGACGCAACCTGTCGGAGAAGCGGTGGTTGCATGGCATATGTGCGATGCTGCATCTACATGCCTACACCATCTCAATTGGACACCTGACAGCTCAAAAAATCAATTCTCATAGTAGTACTTCTCGTGATTGTGCCCCAAAAGATGTTCCAAGATGTGATTATTCCTTTGCTACAGCGTGTTTTTGCAAGGTGGAAATCAGGAGGTGATTCAAACACGACAACAGATCCTTATGTTTAGTGTGCAGCCAGCCATTGGTTGAGCTAATTCAGTCTATAAATTTGAGTTTTGAACGATGGGGTAAATCAGATCTATTTGGGGAAATCTATCAGAGGTGCTAATAATGATGCGGACAAATCAAAGAACCCTAGATCCATGCCGACACCGCCCTCTCAGAAGGCAATGTAATATTTCACGTAGGTGGCAATTCAGTTGATGGTTCAACATGAAAAGAGAAACTATCCGACAAAAAGCAAGTCTGTCACTTCATGCGAAGCAAGGTATACTATTTGGAGTAATGATTTCCCCGTAAACCCACAACCGTCTGATTTTGGAAGCCATCACGCTTCACTTTGCGATTAAATGGTCTCATTTTTTCGCAGAATATCATATTGCCAACTTGCATACATTAACTATTTTCAAGATAGACCCTCCATGCATGTCACGAGCTCTTCTTTTGCTTAGGTACCTGTGATATCTTGGCGCGTTTCTACAAGGTTGAGGATATCCCTAAGGAGGTACACACCCTCTCGTTCCCGCTCAAAATGTTGAGAAGCAATTAATTCATCGTATATATGTTTCATTTTCATGCATGCTGAAGCCCCTCCATTGATTCTTTGTTTGGGGACTTCACAACGTGGTGGGCAAAAAAAGTTGATGGTTGGTGATAATCAATGTAGAAGAATGACGGTGAGAATCGGTTCACAGAGTTTACAATGCTTGTCGTCCTTTTACCTTTTGGGACTTTTTTATTTTACTCATTTTACAGAGACGCGGTTATCTCTAGTGCTACCGAGATCAAGTATTTAAGTACACCAAGATGCCACCTCGAAGTGATGAGCTGTAGACACAAAATGCACAAGTTGTGGTATCTTGGAATAACTGGGATGCAGAGCTACGTAATTGTGCAATGAAGTCTCGGGCCGTCTCAGGTCTCGAGTCTCGACTCTCCCCGCATGTGCCGTGTTGTCCCCATCAACTACTCTTACTCTGGCCCCTCATCTTGCCTGTTATGTGACGCTATTCTACCATTCACGGTGTACCTCGGCCTGTCACGAAATCGAGTGTCCCGTTGCAAGACCTTACACACCCACCCCTCCCAATTCCGCGTGCGTGTGTGTCTATCCATACATGCAGCAGGCCAAATGCTGGAATGTCGATCAATTGAACTCTCCGTGGCATGATATTGGGCTGCTCTCGCGGTGCATGTCTCACACAAAATGATGTTTACGACTCTCCCGTGTCGAGATTGATGTGTCAAGATTGACAGACAATGATATCAGCACTGCGCCGTGGACCTCCCAAAGCATCCAAACGTCAGCTGGCCCCTTTCCCGATGCGAATTTCGTATCAGTCTAGTGGCTCAGCTCCAGCCGCGATTCATTCTGATTAGGGTCATACACCATGACGCGCTTAGTCAATCATCATACCCTCTTGAGCCAAGTATGAACTCTGCCCCAAACTCTGCCCATCAGCCGCACGCCGAACCGTGCTGTGCCGTAGCCTTTTTTTCCCCTCGCCGTTAAGGCAGCTTAACCTATTATTATCGTGGTTTGGGCATCCTGTGGGCCGCAGGTTGCATCGCATGCCAGGATCCGGAGAAAAATAGCTGTCACAGAAGGTCGCATCCTGCAAGCCTTCAATCATATCCTGTTCTATTCTGGCGCTGTTCTGCATCCCATAATACAGGGTACAACTCCTGGGTATTACTCCAACTCCTTCCAAGCAATCAAACGCGCAGCTGCAGCCGTGGTAATACACACCCCTGCCCCCATCCATCTACCCTTTCCCTCCCTCCCTCTCCGACACCACTTCCTCCCCACCCAAAGCTCCCATCTCACCCCCCACCGGACCCCAAATGCAGCGCCATGCCACATTGCAATCAAAGTATCAGAGAAGCAGATGTGGGCTTGGACGAGGTGCCCGGGCCAGAGACGGCTCTCCCTGGATGGAGCGCCGTCCAAAACCTTGCCACCCACAAAGCCTATCACAGGTCACTGCTCCCCTCCCTCCGCCAATCTTTGTCTCCGAATGAGAGATGAGAGCATCGATAGCTGGTAGCTTGGTCACTACCCTCGACCCGAAGCCCCGTCTGTTTGTGATTGGGTCGCCATCTCTTCTCGGACACCCAATCTCTCTAGACCAGACGGCTCGAATCTCTATATAAGCCTTCACTGCCCTGGTAGTTCCTTCCCGTCTCACAATAGAACTCTCCTTCCAAACAAAGAGGGATTCCTTCTTATATCACACTGTCGTTCTGGGAACACACGCATCTCTCTGCGTCGAGGTACCTACATCGTCTTATCCTTCATCCTCATTATTTTGAAGCCATTCCTACATTTTGAATACTTTTATCATCCATACAACCCTTGCAAAGCCTACACAGTAGCCCACCATGTCCACCAGCTCAAGAGAGAACTCTCTCGGGATCCGCCGTGACGGTCTTGGGAGACGCCATGCCATTCCCGACAACCTCCGCAACCTCGTCGTCCTCACCGTTGGCGAGTTTTTCGGCACCTTCATGTTCCTCCTCCTCGCTTTTGTCGGCACCCAGGCTGCGCTCAACACCAATGATCCCAGTGACCCCTCCGCCCCCCTCATGCCATTCTCCCTCCTCTACATCGCCGCCTCCTTCGGATGCTCCCTCGCCGTGAATGTATGGATCTTCTACCGTGTCACTGGCGGAATGTTCAACCCGGCTGTACGTTACCCACTTCTCATTATCGTCTTCCCGTCGTGTACCGTGTGGCCTTGCTAACCGATTCGTTTTGCTTCAATTCAGGTCACACTCGGTCTCCTCCTCGTCGGAGCCGTGACACCCATTCGCGCTCTATGCATCGTCCCTGCCCAGCTCGTCGCCGGTATCGCAGCAGCTGCCGTGACGGATGGTCTCCTGCCCGGTCCTCTGGGCGTGGCCAATGCGCTGAGCAACGGCACCAGCGTCGTCCAGGGCCTCTTCCTCGAGATGTTCCTCACTGCGCAGCTCGTCCTCACCGTCTACTTCCTCGCGGTCGAGAAGCACAGGGCCACGTTCCTTGCCCCCATCGGCATCGGCATCTCCGTCTTCATTGCGCACATTGCCGGCACAAACTTCACCGGCACCTCCATCAACCCTGCGCGCTCCTTCGGTCCCGCTGTCATCACCGGGTTCGTCGGGTATCACTGGATCTACTGGCTGGGGCCCTTCATGGGCTCGTTCCTCTCGTTTGGCGTGTACTCGCTCATGAAGTGGCTGGAGTACCGCACCGCCAACCCTGGCCAGGATGACGGGGACGTCGAGTCGGGAAAGTTTCTTCCAAGTGGTCCGCTGTCCCCTGTTGCGGTTGTCGAGTCCGAAGGTAAGCCCCGGCCCACAACTGGCAGGAATGACAGCGTCATGGACGGCCAGGTGCATGATGGCGTGTCTCAGGTTTGAGGAAGGACTACAGACACTTACACGGTGGTTGACTGCAAGTGGTTTCAACTGTTGCACGTGGTCCATCATCTGATTGAGTGAAGCTGCACAGATCATTTCACAGGTGTATTGAAGGGGGGTGTACAGGAGAAGAGACTGGGCTAGTAACAAGCTTCGTACTTGGAGAGTCTTTCATTGCTTCCTCGCCCTAAGAATGTCACAAGGTAGTGGCGAGGACAGCAGCGGGTGTCATGGGAATAAAATGACTTATGAATATCATGAATACAATGTAATCAACCTCACAAACAAAGTCTGCGTACATGATACCGTGATACACTTAGGGTCACAGTAGGTAGCTTGTGAATCTTATAAGAAAAGTGGCCATAAGCAGATAATAGCAAAGTATCGGCGATTCATGAGAGTAATTCAAGCGTCTCAGCGCTTCAGAGATGGGTGGAATAGCTTATTGATGGGGCTCACCATGTGTTAGCCACCACTTGCGGCTGCACAGCTACACACAATTAAGACAATTTATTGCATGGCTCTATGCTAATAAGGCGATCTGAGTGGCTGAAATTTAAAACGGGGGATACTTTTACACAGTCTAGAGAACGTGCTAGCAGCGTACGATAAACCTGTAGCATTCACCTCGTCAGGTCGGAACATGTTTCATCCTCTTTTTCTTCCTTGCAGGATGAAATAACCTCGGCACTTGGGCCGTTAGTAACGTCTGCCCAAAGCTAATGACAAGGTTCCAGAGTAGTTCGTTCATTGGACAGAATCAAGGCCGGAACTATGCTTGACTTAGAAATTGCATCGCCGTTCAGGCGTGTTTAAACTCAGCCGTAAACTATTTATTAGTGCCAAACCCCCGCTTCAAAAGGGACCACGCACGAGCTAAACGCCTCGCTTGTTTCTTGATCTTCGTCAGTCAGATGGGTATTCATTGGCCCAAATTATTTCTCAGAAGGCGAGCTGACTTTATCGGATCTCCTCTTGTCGGTAATGAGAGATGAATTTTCAAACGCGCTTCCAGAATTAGTCCATTTCTCACGCCTAGATGCGGCTTTCGCTTGGGGAAGACAGAAGTAATGCGCAATCCACCCATCCTAGACTAGGTGCCACGATAAATAGATTCGCCAAAGGACACTCGTTGCCGGAGGTCAAGGCACTGTCGATCTCCAGGCCATTGCACACCGGAAGGTTTGGCATCCGGTATAGAGCCATCAAGAGTGTCTGAGTAGGTACCCGAGAATAAAAATCCAGAGAGAAATCCATCCTACGAGAGCTTGAGGCCCAGTTCGCCGTTTCTCAAACGGCGTTACGTCCTTCTAGCCTATCGTATGAGAGAATACGTACACGGTTTCGGATTTGAATCACTTTTCTTCAAATTCTACTATGCCGTTTACCATTGAAGCCTACATCCACATTGCAATAAAGTACCACCTGAATGAAGACTTGGGCACCCATCTTTTGCTACCTCAACATTTTCGAGTGCATGCTTCAAGGCCCAGCCATAGACTAGTAAATGGCTAAACACGAGACACGATTGAGAAGATTTCCCATTTACTATTTAGGCCCCCAACTCCCGCGTGCGGTAGAAGCGTACCTAGCGGTAAGATAGGTATATTGGAGGAGAAGAGGGTATTTGAGACCATGCAGTAGCTAATGTTGTTTAGGCTTCAGAACCAATAAATAAATGCTCTCTAAGAGGGGTATCAGCATCGTTCTACTAAGCTTGCGACAGTGTCTCCTCTGCCAATAATCAAATTTCAAAGTTCGTTTCTTCTTCCAATCCACCCTTTGTCCAAACCTCGTACTAAGTCCAACTCTTTTTCAAGCTACATACACCTAGATCTTCATTATATGTTTTACACGTTCCCCTCAACTAGAATTTAGACAATCCTGAGAAATGAAATGAGACCCTCCAGCACACCGATAGCCATTCTCCTGCTTTATCCAGGCGAACCCGGCTGGACAACGCCCCATTTGCTCAATTCTGGCTTTCTCCGCTGCAATTTTTCTTCTCTTCTCTTCCTCTTGGACGACTTGTCGGATGATTTCTTCTCGTCTTTCGTCGCTGCAGGTCTTCTGTTCTTTCTTGAGCTTCTGAAACTTTGCCTCTGCCTCCGCCTCGGCTGCTTTATCCTTTTCAAGTTGTTCCCATACCTCATCACTGACGCCAACATCCCTAAGACACTTCGATGACGCGCAATTACCACCCTCGGTATCACTAGCCTCCTCAGGAGTGTTCTCCAGGGTTTCTTCGGTGACTTTCTGCGTCTTGTTTCGCGTCGCCAATCTGGTTTTTGGCTGTTGATCTAGCAAATCCCCCATGTTTTGGGGGGGGATTTGCTGCAAGGTCTGCGGGATAGAGTTGGATCTTCGCTTCTGCATTCTGCCCTTTCGTTCAAACAATAAACTCTTCAGTTCCGTCCTAATATCAGTCTCGGAAACCGTAGGCTGATTGGAACTCAATTTGACCGAGCGAAATATGGTCTTCGCCAACTGCTTCACGTCGCGCGCGCTGGCCCAACCCTCTTGTTGGCTCAATTCGTGGAAGAGTCCAATAACAGCACTTTGAAACTCACCACTCGGAACTTCAAGACACGAAACGTCCAAAGTCTTCCCCTTTGCCTTGGCCTCGATTTCTCTCTTCTTGCTTTGGAGGATGTTCATGAGCAGTTGGAAACACTCCTCTGGTTGAAGTGGCTCAAAGTCTATGGTTTCTGGGAACCGACTTGACATTCCTTGATTGACCGACAAAAGATTGTTGATATCCTCCACATAGCCCGCCAAAATTATGATCAGCTTGCCAGTGTATTTTGGCTTGGTGACACTATCAACCAGCTCATCAACGGCTTCCTGCGCAAAATGGCCTCCGGCCAGACGATAAGCCTCATCGATGAACAGCACTTTTCCCAGCGCTTTGTCCAGAAGCGCCTGAACCTTTGGGCCAGTTTGGCCAATATATTGTCCAATGAGGTCAGTTGCCGAGCAGTCGATGACCTCAGCACTTGCAAGAAATCCCATGTCGTAATAAACTTTGCCCATCTTCCGGGCCACTGTAGTCTTTCCGGTGCCAGGAGGACCCCGGAAAAGGAATGAAAATGGAATTTCTTCTTTGGGATCCATACTCAAACTTTTGAGTTCTCGTACCCGTGCCTGATACCCCTCGAGTAAGGTAATCAATTTCTCCCGGCCAACGTCACCGTCAAACAGAGCTCTTACATTCGTATCTGTGCGAGTATGTCTGTCGAAATCCTCGTCGAAATCCACGGCGTCAAGAAGCTCCGATTTCGCTCCTCCGGCAGATCGTCTCTTCTGATGGCTCACCTTTGCTTTGTCCAAAAGGATATCTACCTCGCCTCCGTTTCCAAAATTTGGTCTGTTCCTCGCTCGAGCAAGAACCTCCAAAGCTGCAGTTTTACCTCTTCCTGTAGTTTTGAATCCGCATTGCCTGGCCTTCAGGTCGAAGATTCGAGATAGCTCATCATCGTTGAAATCCTCAAATACGAAGGAAGAGGCCAATGGAAATCTTCGGCTCAGACCTGGGTTCACATTCTGGAACATCTTTTGCATCTGTTCGTCGTAGCCAAGCAGAAGCACGGAACGATCCTCCCCTGGCACACTTTGGACCTCTGCTACTATTGTGTCAATGACGCCCGTCTTGTAAGGATCAGAAGTGTTTTCCCCTCCGTAGAGGCCATATGCTTCATCTATAACCAGCACCTTTCCGACTGTAGCGGCCAGGATACCCTTTGTTTTAGCTTCTGATTCCCCAAGCGCGGAACCCATAAAGTCTGCGGGGTTCTTCACCACCACCTCTCCGTTGGAAAGAAGACCAATATGAGACAGGACCTGCCCAAACAGTTTTGCGACCGTTGTCTTTCCAGTTCCTGGGTTTCCGACAAACACTTTGTTCAGCGAAAATTGAACTAGTGGCTCTTCCGCAAGCTCACGCTGATAGTTGGCGATTACGGTGTCTTTGAAGACTTGGAGATCGCTCTTTACCTTGTTAAGCCCGATCAACTTGTTCAGTTCCGTCCATGCGGTGCAGCTTTCCAGAGCATTTGAAGGCTCTGGGCCGATCAAGTCTGTTTTGGAGAGGAATAACTCGTCACTCTTATTTTTCGACCGCCTTTCCTTTCTGATGCGGGATGCCTGCCGTTTTAGGATGCTGTCGAGGGTGTTTTCAACTGCCCGAGCATTTCCAAACCCTGCTTTCCCACGGCCTCTGCCAACGCGTCTGGCGATGATCCTGGCATACAATCCCTCAGTCCCGTCCTGCAAGTTCATTGTTCCCTTGAACTTCTGGTGCAATTTTAACTTTAGGATTCGGAGAAGCTCATTGTCGGTGTAGTCTTCGAACTTCATCGTGATGGCGAATCGGCTTGGTAGTCCCGGGTTGTGGGCAAAGAAAGACTCCATCTCCTTTTCATAACCCGCCAAGATGAAGATGACCTGGCCTCGTAGGTTTTCGACTTCGGCGAGCAGATAATCAAGGACCGCCTTTCCTCCAGGGCTGTTCCCAGAGGAAAGCTGATACGCCTCATCAATGAATAATACCCCTCCATCTCTTTCCTTGATATCTTCGATCAGCTTCTCACATCCTGGCACTCCAGCACTGGCCAGCTTGGATCCGGTGGTCTCCTCAAAGGCATCTCCCACAACCGCCCCGATTGAAGTTAGGAACTTGCCCCAGAGGCGAGCTACAGTTGTTTTGCCTAAACCGTGTCAGATGAGTATTCTCAAGCATCAGATCCACTAGAATAGCTTACCAGTTCCTGGGTTCCCCAGTAGAGAACAGCTCAATCTCTCCTTGTTCAATGGTACCCCTTGTCGAATTTTGAGCTCAAGAGATGTCTTCGTTGACAAAAACTCATCCTTGACAGATTCGAGTCCAATGAGTTCCATGAGTTCATCCAAAGCTTGGTTTGCCTCCCCTTGGTCTTTCATATCCTTCCACTCCTGCTCGGCAGGGGAAATTGGACCATTAGCTCGCTGGCTCCCAAGGCTTT